ACCTGGCTTAGTTGTGCCGTCCTCCCCGGATCCTGGGTTTTTTCCTCTCCTGTTGTATTTATATTATTATTTCCATGGTGCTGTATGAGCCTTGTATGAACCCTGTATGATCCTATATGCCTTGTATGCCGTGTACTACTGTCCGTTAGATTTGTACTCTTTTTTCATCCTAGTACGCTGTGTTGACTCGGTGCACTAAGCATGGTAGCCAGCACTGCCACCTGCCTTAGTTGTCGCACTCCTCAGGTCCTGGTTTCCTCTCTGTGTATTTATATATTATTTCCATGGTGCTGTTGAGCCTTGTATGAACCCTGTATGACTCCTATATGACTTGTATGACCCATGTATAACCTCTATATGATTTGTATAACCCTTTTATGACCTCTGTATGACTTTGTGACTCGTGTGTGACCCCAGCATGACTCCTGTATGACTCCAGTATAATCTCTGTATGATTTATGTGTGACCCCTGTATGACTTGTATGACCTATGTATGATGTATAACCCCTGTATGACTTGTATTACCACCCTTGTATGATCTATGTATGATGTATAACCCCTGTATGACTTGTATTACCACCCTTGTATGATCTATGTATGATGTATAACCCCTGTATGACTTGTATTACCACCCTTGTATGATCTATGTATGATGTATAACCCCTGTATGACTTGTATTACCACCCTTGTATGATCTTTGTATGATGTATAACCCCTGTATGACTTGTATTACCACCCTTGTATGACCTATGTATGTCTTGTATGACCCCTTTATGATGCCCTGTGTGATCCCTCTATTACTTGAATATTAAGTTTATTTAGGTACAGGTACACAAAAGTACAATTATTATTTACCTTTAATTAGTTATAATACTAAGGAAATTTGCTGCAATTGACAGCTCAGGCAGACTAATCTTGTATCTTACATACAACTTAAATCTAGACCTAGTATGTAATTTTGGCCATTGTGTACTGTTATGCATGAGTATTCATTATAGTTACAAACATGATGAGACAAGTTGCACATGATGAATTGGGCAATTATTAAAAAATTGCATTGAATTTACGTTGGTTCAGTGATCTGTATAAGGAAATTTGTCCATATCTGTCTCTCTATCTTTGCCTTCGATCAAACCTGGATTCTTTTAGTTGTGAGACAAATGTTTTTAACTTTAATGTTGTTGTATTTAGTATAAATGTTAGACTGTGAATAGATACATGTATATTATAAAATTGATAAATAAGGTTATTTTAACTGGTTATTATAAATTGATAAATAAGGTTATTCTAAACTTTTACAGGCAGGACACCATCTATCAGCAATAGAAATGAAGTTGTGTCAAGTCTTTCAAAGATCTGCTGTTGGAAGTATGAGCAACATTTACAGCAGTGGAATATTTAATGTATGCTGAGGTATGTACAGCCTCTCATCACTTATCAACGTACTCATTTACTGACACCCCAGAGCTGTTTTCTTCTGTCCTGTTTATTACAGTATACAGTACACTACTGTATAAACATTTTAAAAATATACCAGAAATGTTACAAATGATGTGAAGGTGACACTAAAACAATATCGAATATATTGTTTTAATGTCACAGTGACACAAACCCACTACCACTATAGTATGCTTCTCACTTTGCAACAAATTTGTTTACCGACATGTATACCAGTAGTTCTCATCTTAAGTACAGTATTTCAATAATTAACAGAGAGAGGTGCCCCAGCATCTGCAGAGGGGTACTTCAATAACTACTGATTCCATATTTTTCATGTGCAATAATCTTATTGCAATTAGAGGTTTTTAAAATGTTTTGTTGTTTGTGTTTTGTGTTGGAGTTTAGTGAGTGTACTGACTTTATTTTAGCATTATGTAATGTGCTCCTCCTGTTGATGAGGGATGGAAGGATAATTATTTTTATTTTTTTTTATTATCACACTGGCCGATTCCCACCAAGGCAGGGTGGCCCGAAAAAGAAAAACTTTCACTATCATTCACTCCATCACTGTCTTGCCAGAAGGGTGTTTTACACTACAGTTTTTAAACTGCAACATTAACACCCCTCCTTCAGAGTGCAGGCACTGTACTTCCCATCTCCAGGACTCAAGTCCGGCCTGCCGGTTTCCCTGAACCCCTTCATAAATGTTACTTTGCTCACACTCCAACAGCACGTCAAGTATTAAAAACCATTTGTCTCCATTCACTCCTATCAAACATGCTCACGCATGCCTGCTGGAAGTCCAAGCCCCTCGCACACAAAACCTCCTTTACCCCCTGCCTTCCTTCCACTACAGACTGATACACTCTTGAAGTCACTGTTTCGCTCCATTCTCTCTACATGTCCGAACCACCTCAACAACCCTTGTTCAGCCCTCTGGACAACAGTTTTGGTAATCCCGCACCTCCTCCTAACTTCCAAACTACGAATTCTCTGCATTATATTCACACCACACATTGCCCTCAGACATGACATCTCCACTGCCTCCAGCCTTCTCCTCACTGCAACATTCATCACCCTATGCTTCACACCCATATAAGAGCGTTGGTAAAACTATACTCTCATACATTCCCCTCTTTGCCTCCAAGGACAAAGTTCTTTGTCTCCACAGACTCCTAAGTGCACCGCTCACCCTTTTCCCCTCATCAATTCAATGATTCACCTCATCTTTCGTAGACCCATCCGCTGACACGTCCACTCCCAAATATCTGAATACATTCACCTCCTCCATACTCTCTCCTCCAATCTGATATCCAATCTTTCATCACCTAATCTTTTTGTTATCCTCATAACCTTACTCTTTCCTGTATTCACTTTTAATTTTCTTCTTTTGCATACCCTACCAAATTCATCCACCAATTTCTGCAACTTCTCTTCAGAATCTCCCAAGAGCACAGTGTCATCAGCAAAGAGCAACTGTGACAACTCCCACTTTATGTGTGATTCTTTATCTTTTAACTCCACGCCTCTTGCCAAGACCCTCGCATTTACTTCTGTTACAACCCCATCTATAAATATATTAAACAACCACTGTGACATCACACATCCTTGTCTAAGGCCTACTTTTACTGGGAAATAATTTCCCTCTTTCCTACATACTCTAACTTGAGCCTCACTATCCTCGTAAAAACTCTGACCTTCAGTAACCTACCTCCTGCACCATACACCTGCAACATCTGCCACATTGCCCCCCTATCCACCCTGTCATATGCCTTTTCCAAATCCATAAATGCCACAAAGACCTCTTTAGCCTTATCTAAATACTGTTCACTTATATGTTTCACTGTAAACACCTGGTCCACACACCCCCTACCTTTTCTAAAGCCTCTTGTTCATCTGCTATCCTATTCTCCGTCTTACTCTTAATTCTTTCAATAATAACTCTACCATACACTTTACCAGGTATACTCAACAGACTTATCCCCCTATAATTTTTGCACTCTCTTTTATCCCCTTTGCCTTTATACAAAGGAACTACGCATGCTTTCTGCCAATCCCTAGGTACCTTACCCTCTTCCATGCATATATGACTTCCATGCATAATGACTTCCATGCATAATGACTTCCATGCATAATGACTTCCATGCATAATGACTTCCATGCATAATGACTTCCATGCATTATGACTTCCATGCATTATGACTTCCATGCATAATGACTTCCATAAATTTGTAATGACCATTAAAGTTTTGTAATGGGGAAAGTATGGTTTAGTCTCTTTACTTTATATAATGTGCTCAGCCGATGGAAGAGGGTGATTAATATTTATTAAGTATAAGTGGAGGCTCAAGTTTTTCAATTTTTTTTCAATGATTAACGAGGGATTGTTTTTACGTAATTTTTCTTGTATAGGGGGTTAGTAGGTCATTCCTCTTATGGACTACTGTGAAGATTGTGAGCCTTTGCCATATGTCAGTCATATTATGTTAACTATATAAACCTGAAAGGTTTATATAGTTTATATTGTAAAGTATGTTATATGGAAATATTTGTGAGTGTATATGGGTAACCTCTTTTATGTCAGTTACAATGTGTTGTTATATTTTGTCAGTGTATGTTCTGTAGTATTGAGGATTGTACTGTACTCATTTTATATCTTTTTATTTAATATTAAGCTGTAAAGTTTTTAAATAAAATATAAAAAAAAAAGATTCCATATTTATCATAGTAATCAACAATTGAGCTGTCCTAATTTTTCAGAAAAAGGCATTATTTGGATTAGTAATCCTGGAGGGTTAATAACCCAAGAAAGACAAGCAATAGTTTATTTCCATTAGGGTCCTTTTTGGACCTTCCTAGGATGCAACCCACTACAGCTGACTCACTCTGTTTACTGATAGGTGAACAGGGATAACAGGTGTTAGGCAATGTGCCCACGTTTTTCCCTTGTAGATGAATTGTTCAGAGAACCAACATGTTGTTAAATTAGACACATGTGCAACTCTTGGGTATCTTTATTGAGGAAACGTTTCACCACACAGTGGCTTCATCAGTCCATACAAAGGAGAAACTTGAACAGGAGGAGAATGAGGTGATCAGTCCCTCAACCTTGAGTCGATGTGGTCAGTCCATCAATCTTGAATAGAACACGGCATATGAGCAGAGAAGCAGCAACACCTGTGTTGCTTTGTTGTGGGATGTGATAGTGAGGTGTGGGCTAGACCCTTTATATGCCTTCCTTTGATGCATTACTTTCATTGTTCCTTGATAATGTGAGTAGTCACGAAAGCACTTGGAATTTCTCTATTCTTTCACAGTGGTTGTTTTACATATTCTGAAATCACCTGTTTACTGTGATCTTTGTGTGTGTGTGTGTAATTTTTTTTTTTTTTCAACAAACCGGCCGTATCCCACCAAGGTAGAGTGGCCAAAAAAGAAAAACGAGAGTTTCTCTTTTTAAATTTAGTGATTTATAGAGGAGAAGGGGTTACTAGCCCCTTGCTCCCGGCATTTTAGTTGCAAAATAACCACAGATGGAGTTGAATGATAGCTCTAGGTTTCATCTTCTAAAGTCTCCCTGTACTTTTCTTTAGCGCATATATGCTAGAGCCAGTTCTTCCTTCTTCACGGCGTTACCAGAGATTTCTCTTCCTCAGTCTCAGCTGCTCTGATTTCTCATGGTTCCTTCCACAGATTCTGCTTTGGTCAGTTCCATGAACTTTTCATCACACTCATACCTGGAGTATACCTGAAGAGGGTTTTGGGGATCAGTGCCCTCAATAGCCTGGTCTGTGACCAGGCCTTGTGGTGGATCAAGGCCTGATCAACCAGGCTGTTACAACTGGCAACAGGTAAACCAACATACAAACCACAGTCCGGCTGATCAAGTACTGACTTTAGGTGCCTGTCCAGTGCCTTCTTGAAGACAATTAGGGAGTCTATTGGTAATCCCCCTTATGTATGCTGGGAGGCAGTTGAACAGTCTTGGGCCCCTGACACTTAGTGTGTTGTCTCTTATTGTACTCGTCACTCCCCTGCTTTTTATTGGAGGGATGTTGCATCTCCTGCCGAGTCTTTTGCATTTGTAGGGAGTGACTTTCGTGTGTAAATTTGGTACTGATCTCTGTAGGATTTTTCAAGTGTATATTATTATGTATCTTTCTCACCTGCATTCCAGGGAATACAAATCAAGGGGCTTCAACCATTCCCAGTAATTTAGATGCTTTGTCATACCTGTGTGTGCCATGAAGGTTCTCTGAACATTCTCTATGCCTGCCTTCAAAGGGGCCATTAGTGCACAACAGTATTCCAGCCTAGAGAGAACAAGCAATTTAAAAATCATCATGGGCTTGGCATCCCTAGTTTTGAAGTTTCTCATTATGCAACCTATCTTTTTTCTAGCAGATGTGGTAGATACGTTGTTGCGTTGTTGCGCTCTTTAAAAGTAATATCCTCTGATATAATCACTCCCAGATCCTTCATATTAGTTTTTTGCTCAATTGTATGGTTGGAATTTGTTTTATACTCTGATACAGTTTTAATTTTCCCAAGTTTTTAATATCAGAGTAATTGAACTTTCTCTTCATTGAACTTCATATTGATTTCTGTAAAGATTTGGTTGATGTCTGCTTGGAGTTTTGCAGTGTCTTCGATGGATGACGCTGTCATTTAAGACACAGTGCTGTGGCTTACATTTCTGTCTGTGTCAGATGTGAGGATGAGGAACAGGATGGGAGCAAGTACTGTGCCTTGTGAACAGGGCTTTTCACTATAGCTGCCTCAGACTTAACTCTGGTTACTATTACTCTTTGTGTTCTATTTGTTAGGAAATTATAGATCCATCTACCAACTTTGCCTGTTATTCCTGTATCATGCATTTTGTGAGCTGCTACACCATGGTCCCACTCATCAAAGGCTTTTGCAAAGTTTGTGTATATGTACTACATGTTCATTTTGCTTATCCTCAATCACATCCAGGACCTTATTGTAATGGTCCAATAGTTGTGACAGACAGGAGTGACTTACTCTAAACCCATGTTGCCCTGGGTTGTGTAATTGTTGGGGATCTAGGTGGGTGGCAGTCCTGCCTCTTAGACCCCCTTCAAAGATTTTTATGATATAGGATGTTAGTACTATCGGTCTGTATTTCTTTGCAATTGCTTTACTGCCACCTTTGTGGAGTGGGGCTATGTCTGTTGTTTTTAGTGACTGTGGGATGACCCCTGTGTCCATTGTCCCTCTCCATAGAATGCTAAAGGCACTTGACAAGGGCTTCTTGCTGTTCTTGATGAACATGGTGTTCCACAAATCTGGGCCTGGGGGAGAGTGCATGGGCATGTCATTGACTTTTCAAAGTCTTGCGGTGTTAGGATAATATCAGAGATTTTTGAATTTGCCCAATTTTGAGTCTCGGTCATAAAAAATTACAGTAGTCAGCTATATTACACAGATTTATTTGCCATGTTTTGGTTATTGCACTATTGAAAAATTGCGGCACATTGTATCAATCGCATCTGCTAGAAAAATGACAGGATGGATAATGAGAACCTTCAAAACTAGGGAGGCCAAGCCCATGATGACACTCTTCAGGTCACTTGTTCTATCTAGGCTGGAATATTGCTGCACACTAACAGCACCTTTCAAGGCAGGTGAAATTGCCGACCTAGAAAATGTACAGAGAACTTTCACGGCGCGCATAACGGAGATAAAACACCTCAATTATTGGGAGCGCTTGAGGTTCCTAAACCTGTATTCCCTGGAATGCAGGAGGGAGAGATACATGATTATATACACCTGGAAAATCCTAGAGGGACTAGTACCGAACTTGCACACGAAAATCACTCACTACGAAAGCAAAAGACTTGGCAGACGATGCACCATCCCCCCAATGAAAAGCAGGGGTGTCACTAGCACGTTAAGAGACCATACAATAAGTGTCAGGGGCCCGAGACTGTTCAACTGCCTCCCAGTACACATAAGGGGGATTACCAACAGACCCCTGGCAGTCTTCAAGCTGGCACTGGACAAGCACCTAAAGTCAGTTCCGGATCAGCCGGGCTGTGGCTCGTACGTTGGTTTGTGTGCAGCCAGCAGCAACAGCCTGGTTGATCAGGCTCTGATCCACCAGGAGGCCTGGTCACAGACCGGGCCGCGGGGGCGTTGACCCCCGGAACTCTCTCCAGGTAAACTCCAGGTAAACGTTTTGTAAAATTGACTGTACACGGTTCTGTTTGCAGGTGTGGAAAAACTTCCCCAGCTCGAGCTGCCGCCATGTTGTGAGTCAGCAGGAAAGGCCTCCCTCTATCCCCTGCCACTCTGACACTTCTGCCACCACCATCCCAGCCTCCGTGAATAGCGTTCAGTTCCATTCTGCCGTAAGAGCTAGATGTGTTTGTGAATTGTTTTGATCTTTTAATTATGTTACCTTGTATCTGCCAAGAAATCATGGCACCCAGTAGGCATACCAGTATTGCTGAAAGTGGCAAGAAAAGGTTATTTTTTTTTTTATTAATATATCTTCCGATTCCCACCAAGACATGGTGGCCTGAAAAAGAAAAACTTTCATCATTATTCACTCCATCACTCCATTAACACCCCTCCTTCAGAGTGTAGACACTGTACTTCCCATCTCTAGGACTCGAGTCCGGGCTGCCGGTTTCCCGGAATCCCTTTATAAATGTTACTTTGCTCACACTCCAACAGCATGTTAAGTATTAAACCCTTAAATGGTCCAAACGTATATATACGTTCACGCGCGTAGCGCCCCAAACGTATATATACGTTTTATTTTTCATTCGTTCAAAATTAGCGCGATAGGCCTGAGTCGCCTAGACATGAGAGAATGGGTGTGCGCACTCAGTGTGCGCTGTATACAAAAAATCTGGGACGCCTGGGTACCACATGGTAGGACCAGTTACATTCAGCTCCATCCTGGGTCAACATCATGGCACATCCTCGTGATTCACTCATGCCTCGTCGTATTAACACTCTACTATTCAAGGAAAGTGACAGAGATTGTGAGTTTAGTGGATTTGACACCAATGGGGCCAGTAACATTCAAGGAATTAGTGAAAATATCGACGATAACCCAGATGACCCCCAGCCCATCACCTCTGGGGTAGCGACACCTGTCCTAGGGCCAAGCACCTCTGGGGTAGCCAGTGTGGCCACATCAGACCCTAGGCCAAGCACTTCTGGGGTGGCCAGTGTGGCCACAGAAGACCCTGGGCCAAGCACCTCTGGAGTGGCAAGTGTTACCCATAGGCAACTTCGCAAGAGGAAACTATCATTTTCCCGGTGTTTTAGTAGTGATAGTGAAAGTGATGTAAGTGATGATGAGATTGATTTTATGCCAATTGAGGATTCGTCTAGTGATAGTGACGTTCATTATTCACCAGTGAAACATACTTTTAGGTGTCGTTATCTACGTTCAGGCAGTGTGCCATATGCAATCCCCAAGGGTCGTGGCAGGTCACGATCCAAAACCCCGGCCACTGATAGTGAAAGTGATCACGAAGGGGAGTATGCGGGGATGGAGGAAGTAGTGGTGGGTGGCATGGTGCCTGGACCACATGGCGCAGTGGGTGGACAGACAAAGGACCACCCAGCACCCCCTCAACCATGTGCTGCCTCCACTCCTCTCCCTCCTCCTGCCCCCCCTCGCCCCATGCCACAGGTCCACCCTGCACCATGTGATAGTGAGTGGAACTGGACACAAAGTATATTCATGCCACAGCCTTGTGATTTTGATGCTAGTGGAAGTGGTATCCAGCCAGAATGTCCCATAACAAATGAGTCTACAGAGTTAGACTATTTCCAGTTGTACTTTGACGAGGCTATAATGAACTTGATAATGACTCAGACAAACATTTATTACCAATATGTCATGAACAACACAACAGAGGTTGGAGAATCATCACGGCTGCACAGGTGGAAAGACACAACAGTGGCTGAAATGTATTTATTCCTTGCCACTGTCATGCTTATGCCACATATCTATAAGAACAACATACATAATTACTGGTCTACAGACCACTTCATCAGTACTACAGTTTTCCGTGACCTCCTTCCCTGCAACAGATTCACTCTGTTGCTACGAATGTTGCACTTCGCAGACAGAAATACGCCAGACAGAAATGACCTTCTATACAAAATCTGGGAAGTGTTTATGTATTTGAAGCAGAAATTCAGTGTATACTTTTATCCCTTCAAGAACATTGTTGTTGATGAGTCCTTGATTCTGTTCAAGGGACGCCTTTCATTCAAGCAATATATACCGAGCAAATGTAATTGCTTTGGTATAAAACTTTTTGTTATGTGTGACTTTGAGAGTAGTCTTGTGTTGGATGTTATTGTATACACAGGGAAAAACACACTCGATGATGACAGAAGGATGTTGGGCATTTCCGGTGATGTTGTTCGCAGGATGATGGAACCATACCTTGGCAAGGGCCATGCATTGTACACAGACAACTGGTATACAAGCCCTATGCTTGCTGATTTCCTATGTGTGAACAATACTGATATATGTGGAACAGTGAGAAGGAATAGGAAACATATGCCAAGGTTCACTGGAGGCAGTGTTGAAGGTGAAGTGCAAGCGTTTCATGCTAATGACATCATGGCACTGATGTGGTATGACAAATGAGACGTGACATTGCTATCAACCATCCACAGAAACGAGATGGTACAGACAGACAGACTGAGCAAGTTCAACAACAAACCTATTGTGAAGCCACTTGCTGTCGTGGACTATATGAACAACATGCGACTAGTTGACAAGTGTGATATGATGATAGGGTTTGTTGACTGTGTGCGTAGGAGTCGCAAGTGGCATATAAAACTGTTTTTTCACCTTGTAGACATTGCAGTGCTCAATGCATTCAATATGTACGAAGTAAAGACTGGAAAACGACAACATTTTGCAGATTTCTCTCTGAATCTCGTCAAACAGATAGCAAGAAAGTATGGTACCACACCTGTACCTTCCCTTCAACAGCGACCTGTCACACCACAACCTGTCCCCCAACCACAGCCAGTGGGGGAAGTGCCAGACCGAATCACTCCTAACTGTCACTATCTGGTACCAATACCACCTACCCAAAAGAAGAAGAATGCCCAGAAAAAGTGTATTGCGTGTGCTTCCACCAAAAAATGACCCCAACAGCGGAAGGACACATGATTCATGTGTCACCAGTGTGGGGTGGCACTCTGTATGAATCCATGCTTCATGGAGTATCATACAATTGTGGAGTTCTAGAAACATAAGTGGGACATGTAAATACTTGTATATAGTTGTATGTGATGATGTGTGATTCAGCCAGGTGTGCAAAATCACCTGTCAGTGTGTACATGTGACAATATGATAAAAATTTCGTATGTAATATTGGTGTATAAACAAAAATTGGCATTGATATCAAATGACTTACTATGAAACATAATTATCATATCATGAAAACCAAGAAAATGAAAAAAAAAAATGGAAGAAAACAGTAAATATGTTGAATTTCTGTAAGCAGCAGCGCTCCATGTTGCCGTCAGGTGATCGCCAAGTGCCAACTTCGCGGCCTCATACCTCAGTAAGTACTGACCCTAATTTTTTTTAATGCTAAAACACTTAAAAAAAATGTGCTCTTTTTTTTCTATATAAAAAAAAGATTTTTTTTTTTTTTTCAAAATATTCGGGGCGCTGCGCGAGTGAACGTATATATACGTTTGGACCATTTAAGAGTTAAAAACCATTTGTCTCCATTCACTCCTATCAAATACGCTCATGCACGCTTGCTGGAAGTCCAAGCCCCTTGCACACAAAACCTCCTTTACCCCCTCCCTCCAACCCTTCCTAGGCCGACCCCTACCCTGCCTTCCCTCCACTACAGATTTATACACTCTCAAAGTCATTCTGTTTTGTTCCATTCTCTCTACATGTCCAAACCACCTCGGCAACCCCTCCTCAGCCATCTAAATAATAGTTTTGGTAATCCCACACCTCCTAATTTCCAAACTACGAATTCTCTGCATTATATTCACACCACACATTGCCCTCAGACATGACATCTCCACTGCTTTCAGCCTTCTCCTTGTTGCAACATTCACCACCCATGCTTCACACCCATATAAGAGTGTTGGTATAACTATTCTCTCATACATTCCCCTCTTTGCTTCCATAGACAAAGGTCTTTGTCTCCACAGACTCCTAAGTGCACCACTCGCCTTATTCCCCTCATCAACTTTGATTCACCTCATCTTTCATAGACCCGTCTGCTGACAAGTCCATTCCTAAATATTTGAATACATTCACCTCCTCCATACTCCCTCCAGTCTGATATCCAATCTTTTGTTACCTAATTTTTTTTTTATCCTCATCACCTTACTCTTTCCTATATTCACTTTTAATTTTCTTCTTTTACGTACCCTACCAAACTCATTCGTCAACCTCTGCAACTTCTCTTCAGAATCTCCCAAAAAACAGTGTCATCAGCAAAGAGCAACTGTGATAACTCCCACTTTGTGTTAGATTCTTTATCTTTTAACCCCACACCTCTTGCCAACACCAGAGCATTCACTTTTCTTACAACCCTATCTATAAATATATTGAACAGCCATGGTGACATCACACATCCTTGTCTAAGGCCTACTTTTACTGGGAAATAATCTCTCTCCTACATACTCTAACCTGAGCCTCACTATCCTTGTAAAAACTCTTCACTGTTTTCAGTAACCTACCTCCTATTCTATATTTGCAACATCTGCCACATTGCCCACCCTATTCACCCTGTCATATGCCTTTTCCAAACCATAAATGCCACAAAAATCTCTTTACCCTTATCTATATACTGTTCACCTATGTTTCACTGTAAACACTTGATCTACACGCCCCCTACCTTTCCTAAAGCCGCCTTGTTCATCTTCTATCCTACTCTCCATCTTACTCTTAATTCTTTCAATATTAACTCTACCATACACTTTACCAGGCATACTCAACAGACTTATTCCCCTATAAGAGTTTTATGTGCATTTATCAGATACTGTACAAAAAAAAAAATGAACCCCTAATTGATTATATTTTTTATTCGACAGGTACCAGTCTGAGAGGAGCATTATATCAGGAAAATGATGAAAGCTTGTGGGGGAAATCCAGTAACACTGCTGATACTGGCAAGACCCAGAAAACTCTACTACATTTTTTCCAACAACAGGCTCAGACTTGCTCCCCCATTGATAAGGTCATTTGCCCTGGGTGTAACCTTCAAGTACCAAAGAGCAAGCTTAATTGGCATCTTGATCACGATTGTAAAAGCAAGAACTGTCAAAAGAAAGTAGGTGGTAAGGAAAAGTCTCGCAAGAATAAGAAACTCTCAAAGATTGATAAAGAAAAGAAAAAGGTGAAAGCAAGAAGACAAGCTGTTCTGTCTGACAGTGAAGATGATTCAGATGATCTGTGTGCTTTGTATTGTAAGAAAAATGAAAGCCCTAATGAGAGTGACTATTCTGATGCTTGTTACATATCTCCAGATATGGTGGAGACACAACTCATTGAATTAGAAAGTGGAAGCGAACTTGTGCTGGCCCTACAGCCAGACAGCTTACGCAAAACCTCTTCACCTTATTTCTCTCCTAATTTGAAACATAAACAATATTCCTCAAGAAAGAGGCAGGAGAAAGTGATCTGCTATGAAGTGCCACAGCTTCAGAAGAATGGAATAGCTTTGCTAGAGGCAGACTGGAGTTCTCCTCAAGTAACGCCAGAAAAAGCCAACGAGGCTGATATTATCGACATGCCACAATTGGCATCTCGGCCACTCTCGTTTTCACCTCAGACCAAGTCAGGCAAGCAGTAAAGGCAATGATGGAAGCAGACTGGCAGTCGCCCTCTCCTGTGACTACACCTAAGAAAAACGATGACTTAATTGAAAACCAGAATAAAACTAATAAAATATGTCTTGACAGTACAGTGAGGACAGACTCGGAAAGTGAAGATGATTTTCAAACATCGTTTGTAATAGGGACACCAAAAAACTTAAAGCTAAGAAACAAGTCAAGTTTTACACCAACACTTACAAAACAAAAGAAGAAATGCCTTGTCTTCTCTCCAGATTCAAACTGTAAAAATTTTGTAGAAAAGACCACTCCAAATAAAATCAAAACTGTTCCATGTGAGTTAGATGAGAAAAACCCAAATGAAACCAAAAATAAATTTGAAAACAGTACTCTGTCATTAACACACACTGGGTCTACTACTGAGAGAGAGTCATTATCACTATCACCTGGAACCTTTGTAAATATGAAGGTACACATAACAGAACTGAAGGATACATCTGTAGGCCCTCATATAGGCAAATTAGAGGAAGAGAAATCTGCTCCTTGTAAATTTCAATCTGAAGAATGGAATAATGATAGTAGCAGTTCAGGAAGTGATGAAAGTGTGATGTTGTTCAGTCGTGCAGGAAGCCCAGCGCTTGTTACCCCAACAAGGTCTCCAAGCCCACTGCTAATTGATGCTCATGTTGAAGAGGGTATAAGCCATGTCAGGAATCTTTTTAATGATACAAGTCCATGTGATACAAATGTAGATCCTTCAGTTAACACAAACATGCACTTAAATGTGAATAAAGTTAAGAGTAGCCAAGATGAGTATTTGATTCATTATCTCAACCTTCTTTGCAAAGAAATAAAAATTTTCATAGAAGTCCATGGAAAATTAAACAAGGCTTAAGAAGCACAGGGTTGTTACAAAATTCATCCCAGAAATTGTCAGTGACAAATTGTAGAGAGAAGAAACCAACTCCATCTCCCTCTGGCTCAGCCTCCAACTCACCAGCAAAATTAACTCCATTAAAGAATACAGACGAAGAGGATCAGCTGAAGAATGATCCTACAAGATATAGACATCAACGAGGATATTATTTAGAGAACTTTCTTAGAATTTTGGATACAGTTCTGTCACAGCCCCAAGATGTCAAACTTTTAAATGATGATGATCTAGATGTCATAAAAACTTTCCAAGGTCTAACATTGCAAGCTCAAAAGCTGTATGTTCGATTATTCCAGAGAAAGATCAAATGGAACAGAATTAGCAAGGTTGAATACCGAGAGATCTGTGAGAAGGAAGACACTCAGCTCTACATTAATGAACTCTCCTATGCTAATTTTTTACATCAAGGTAAGGTTATTCATGTTTTGCATAACTCTGCTGAGGAGTAGTGATTGTTTTTTCCTAATAGACTAAATTTATTTCTCTTCAACAACAAAATACAGTAGTACCTCATGTTTCGAACAGTTTCCAACTTGAACAGTTATGCAAGTGTATTTTTGTAAGTGCTTTTGTAAGTGTATTTTTGGTGGTCTGAAACGGACTAATCTAATTTACACTATTCCTTATGGGAACAAATTCGTTTGGTATCAGCAGTCGAACAGCTTTCTGAAACGAATTAAGTTCATAACTAGAGATACCACTGTACTGTAAATGTACTAAATGTAGATAGAGACAATAATATTACAGTAATTAAATTTACATTTTTGTACACTTTTTTTTTTTTTACCATCACCTATCTCCCACTAAGGTAGGCTGACCTAAAAAAGAAATCACATTCACATTCATAGATTCATCAGCTGTCTTGCCAAAAGTGTGCAGACATTGTAATTCAAATGACCCTCTGATCTGCAGCATTCCCACTCCTTCAGAGTGCATGCACTCTAATACCAACCTTCAGGACTCTAATCCAGCTAGCAGCTTTCTCTGAATCTTTTCATAAAGGTTTTGTCTCACTCTAACAGTAGGTCAGATCCCTCAGACCACTTGTCTTCATTCTGATCTAATACACTTAAACATCCCTGGTGGATACTCAAGACTTTACCCTTTAAAACCCTCACACATTCCCTCCAGCCTTCCTGGAATAACCCCCTACTTGCTTTCCACTACATTTATACATTTGCTTTATAATCCTATTCTGCTTCATCTCCTCTAAATACTCAAGCCATCTCAACAACCCTTGTTCTGCCTTTTGAATACCTGAATAAAACATACCACACCATATTGTAAAGTGGCATGGAAATTATAAGAGAGATAGCAGTGGATAGACTACAAACTATCTCTTCTGTTTAGTACCGTTCTTCTTCTATAATTTCTTGTTACTTCATTGCCACCAACAGAACTGTGTGTACCAGTGCTTATAGAGCTAGTTATCACTAATTTTACTTCAGGCTGGTGTATTTTAACAACCAGATATCCTGAGAACCTTGGAGCAAACTGATGGAATTTGTTATGACTACAATAACTTCCACTGATAACTCGAGTCTTTGCCACTATTAGTATACCCAGGGTGGTTCATTGTTATTTGTTTGTCCTGATGTAGTGGCAGAGTTAATATCAGGAATCCACTGAACACAGTTTGCCCTTGTGTAGTGCTGTATCTAGTTGAATCATATATTTTCAAACTGCTTGTCCAGCTGGTTCTTAAATGGCTGTATTGTCTTCACACTTACAGCTTCAGGGAGTATTTTGTTTAATAATGTAATAATTCTATTAACAAAAACTTTACACACAATTGTGTTGCATCTATTTCCTCAAAGTTTCATTCCATTGTTTCACATTACTGACTGCCTTTCATATAGTTCTTCCTGTCTGTGTGTATCAAAACCACTTAATACCGTAAAAGCTTGAATGAGGTCTTGTAGCCTCCATTTTATATATACTTTGAATCATTGCTCATATTGTTCCTTCCTTAGTGATGGCACAAGCTTAGTTGTCCCTCTCTACCCTCTCCAGTCTGTTCTTCATCTTTTACATAATTTGCTAATCAAAACTGAGAGCATTTTTAAGATATGTAAAAAAGCACATTATTGAGAGCCGATGTTAGTTCCAATATTTTGTACTTGGAATTTCTTGCATTCTTTTGGTTTTGATGCTCTGATAGACATTGCTTGGTATTTTTGAGGTCTATGTTAATGATTACTCCAAGGTCTATTTTCTTTTCTTGTTTCAATTACTTTGTTATCCAACATTTTATATTCAGATTTGAAATTATATCCAAAAATCATTGCTTTTCACTTGTCATTGAGACTTATCTTCCATAACCTCACTCAGAGCATTAACATACACAATGCACTTTACTCTCCTTGGTGTTTCTTATTAGGTCTTATCCCTGTAATATTTCCTTTAAAAATTAGGAGGCCTGTTGACAAGGGCTGCAGAACCATTACCCCATTCACTGTCCGTCATGTAGATCTACATTATTGTGGCCAGGGACCCTCATGTAGCTCTATGTTTTGAGCTCAGCTTCCTCAGAAAAGCTGTGAGAAGTCAATTTTGGCCCAGAGATGGGAGGATGGGTCTGTGCCATGAGTGTGCACACTATAAAGAAAAAATCCTGCTCCACGCTGTGCAGGATGGAAAAGGCAGAACTGACCTTGTTTGATTTAAAATAGCAACTTGAGGTGTTTTCTAGGTTGTTTTTTATAATATTGACTGTTCCTTGTTGACATTTGATAGAATACAAATACAATTTTTTGTTTAATGTGTATAAATAATGTAGTTGACATGACATGTAATAAAACATTAGTGGGCATAAAAAAGACACTAATATGCAAAGCATTTCAGGTAAACTAATCCTAATGCTTAAATGTTACTTTATAGACACAGACTAAGAAGTAGGATTTCTTAGACAGTTATCTTCAAAAATATGTATAATAAGAAAGGCAGCTAGTGAACAATTGGTACAATTTCAGTTTTTTTTTTTTTCTAAACACACTGGTCATCTCCCACTGAGGTAAGGTGACCCGAAAAAATGAATGGCTTGTTGTTTCAAACTGATTCAGTGATCTTTAGTTTTGTGGAGTGATTGACTAGTGATGAAGATACATCAAGTTACTTAGTTACAGTAGAAATACAATGGGACAAGATGTGTTACCAGTTTTCTATGGGAGTTGAAGGAAGACTGGAAGAGCAGGAACAGAGTTGGACGAGTTTGTTTGACATAGTGTATTGCCGTTTCATTTATTTTCTTCAACATACCAGTTGTCTCCCATCTAGGTAGGTGACTTGAAGAAGAAAACCTTATAAAGCTTTTCTTCAATTACATTAAGGAAATCAGTTGTTTTTTAACAATAGCTCTAAACTGATTGGCAGATAGGAGACCTTTTGATGTTTCAGGTAATGATTTCCAGATTGTAGGTATCCTCTCCAAGATTCACTACTGTGTACCTCAAACAACACTACTTAGTCTACTGTCAGACAACACACACCATCACTCTTTCAAGACTTAAACCTACTTAATATACATAAAAGTCATTCATACTATTATGCATACTACATATACAGGACAGTAAATTCCTAAACTAAACATTGTCCCATAAAAACTAGAGAGATCACCAATAAAAGACTAAGTTGCCCATGGCTTACTAACAGCATCCTAAGGTCCATCAGTATAGGGTGTTGGTTTGTGCTTATGTATCGAATGTTGGTGGTGTTTATGTATGTAAATATGCCATGCATGATATCACTCATGAAATTGTTCTTGTGACAGAAAATGAGATGGCAGATTTAGAAGAAGTTCTTCAGCTTCTGTCCACTGGGGAACTGCATGAACTCTGTAAACAGATGAAGGTAAGTGTTCCAATGAGGGTAGCTTGTTACTAGTTTTATATATGAGAGAGTAGCTTGTTACAAGTGTTATATGTGAGGGAGTAGCTTGTTACAAGTGCTGTATGTGAGGGAGTAGCTTTTTTTTTTTTTTCAGCAAGTCGGCCGTCTCCCACCGAGGCAGGGTGACCCAAAAAAGAAAGAAAATCCCCAAAAAGAAAATACTTTCATCATCATTCAACACTTTCACCACACTCACACATTATCACTGTTTTTGCAATGGTGCTTGGCAGTAGTTTGGTACTAGTGTTATATGTGAGGGTAGGTTGTTACCAGTGTTACTTGTGAATTTAGCTACAGATGGTTTTTAAGACACCTGATTCATTCATTTTTCTCATTTTTTCTTATTAAAAATATTAATTCAGTTTTGTACTTGGCAGCAGTGCATGCCTTGTGCAGCAACTGTGCTTAACTTGTTCATCTCAGAGGTCAACATTCCACTCACAACCAAAACACTCCGGGTTCAGTTCCTGGGCGGGGTGACGTGGATATATTTCTATACGCTTGCTGCTGCTAGTGCTCACCTAACACCAAATTGATACCTAGGAATTGAGCAACTTAGGGAAGGTTTCTAAGAACCTTGTAACAATAGACTTACACTGCTATAACTCGTCACTTACCTTGATCCTCTCATTCAAGACTAGAATGAAGGTACAGTGTTCTATATATCCTTTTATATATCCTTCTATATATCCTTTTATTCATAAGACCACATTGAATATTTTTATTTTGATGATATGTATTGATGTAACTTCCTGTAATTATTATTATACTTTGGTATAGATAATTGTTTCCTCATTTTATTATCAAATGTAAATAAAAGAATCTTTAGAAAACATTACCATATTTATTGATATGTTAAGTATCTTTATACGTATATGCTTCTAAACTGTTGTATTCTGAGCACCTCTGCAAAAACAGTGATTATGCGTGAGTGAGGTGAAAGTGTTGAATGATGAAAGTATTTTCTTTTTGGGGATTTTCTTTCTTTTTTGGGTCACCCTGCCTTGGTGGGAGATGGCCGACTTGTTGAAAAAAAAAAATATTGATTTTTAATATTCTCTCATTGAAAAATAATGAGCTTGCCTGCAAACACAGTCTTCCCTATCCAGCCAGTTAGCCACCATTAAATCTCTTGTGTATCAAAACTGTGACACTACTCCTGAATAATGTAGTTGATGTAACTTATGTAAGAATGTGTGTAAGTATGGTATACTGTACAGTATTTCAGAGTTTACCCTGCTGGGTGGTCAGGGCATTTGCAGTCCTCAAGCTCTACTTTGTAATTTTTGTTTATTAATCTCCCTCCATGGGGAAGTGGAGAATAATCCTTCCTCTGTAAGTCATGCATGTTGTAAGACGCAACTAGAATACCACTAGCAAGGGGCTAGTAACCCCTTCTCCTGTAAAAAGAAGAAACACTTTTGTTTCCTCGTTTTTGGGTCACCCTGTCTTGGCAGGATTGAGATGGCCCATGTGTTAAAAAGAAAAAAATTATTAATCTTGTTTAAATTTTCTTGTGCTAATGTGCTCCCTCTTTTTTACTACTTATTATTTGTTATAAATGTTGAGCACTATTACTGTACTTAAGAGATGGTATGTTTCAGCTCAGGACTGCTGGGAAGAAAGAGGACCTGGTTGCCACTCTGTCCAAGTTTGCTAAACAACAGCCAACCATTATTTCTGCATTTTCCAAAGGTTCTAAAGGCAACTCATTACTTATGAAGAGGTAATTATAATTTGTTGTTAAAATACTAATATGTAGGAAGGTGTATATATCGTAGTGGGGGAAGGAAGGGTAGGGGTCATCCCAGGAAAGTTGAAGGGAGGGGGTAAGAGAAGTTTTGAGCGAGGGGCCTGGACATCCACCAGGCTTGTTTGAGCATGTTACATAGGATTGAGTGGAGATGAGTGGTTTTTATGACTTGATGTGGTGTTGGAGTGTAAGCAAGGTAACATTTATGAAGGGATTCAGAGAAACCAGTTTGCTGGACTTGAGTCCTGGAGGTGAGAATTGCCGTAACCGCAAGTCCCACCTCCAATGGCCCATCCAAATTGTGATGCAAGCATGCTTCCATTAAAAGAGTGATGGTGACAGTGTTCCCTCTTTATGGGTCATGCTGCCTCACTGGGAGATTGCCAGTGTATTAGGAAACATTAATGCATTATTTCACATGTTTCACATCTGCACTCTGTTTAGCACAACAGAACTCTACAGTGAAAGAAATTGCGTGGAAAATTTTTTATCATTGTCAACATTGAGTAAGAATAGTAGCATAATGTTCAGTAAACTGAATAATAACTGTACCACACTTTATAAAACTTCTCATAACAACTGTACTGAAAAATCTGAAAATATATAGAGTGTATGACTTTATGATAAAGCATATACATACCAACATTGATACATATTAGTATATAAATACTGTGAATATGGAAGCCAGGTATAAGGTTTGTTCAAACAAAGACAGCAGCGCAGCAGCAGCAACACCATGAGTCCCAGGAATGGGAATTACAAGATTCAACTGTTTTCAATGAATATTTTCAGAAGTACAGTAGGACCCCGTATCTCCACCTACTGTGGAGACCCGAAATCACGGATAGTAGCTAACTTTATATGTAAGTCATTTTTTATTTACATACATACCTATGATAAAGTTTAATTGATAAACCATACCACGAGCAGGGATTGAACTCATGGTGAGTGAGTTGTAAAACTCCAAGCCAGCGTGTAAGCTACTGGGATTACACAATTAAACTCGCCATGAGTTCAATTCCTGCCCGTGGTATGGTAGTTTGCGAACATGTCATTATGATTTCATGAGTTTTAACCCTTTCACTGTCGAGACCCCTACTCACAAACTTGCTCTCAATGTCGAAGAATTTAAGCAAAAAAAAAAAAATTAGTTTTTCTTATGAAATGATAGAGAATCTTTTCCAGATGGAAATGGCACCAAAAGTATGAAATTTTATGGAAAACTTAAGAATTATGCTCTTGGAAACTTAGCAGACTCTGTGATATTTACTCATCAGTGATTTTGCCCAATCTGAGCCCTATTTTCAGCCAATTCTATTGTTCCAGTTGACCAAAGTCGTAGCTATTTTGCTAGAATTCCTTTTGTTCTATCGACTGAGTACAAGAAACTGCCTAGTAATCTGGCAAATTTCATACACAATTCAAGGAAGGCCAATTTCAAAATAGGGTCCAGAATTAACAGTGCAGTCATTCCTAGTGCTAAAATTAAATTTTCTCTGTTCATTAGTCACATCTCCAGGCCCCTCTTATATTATGCTTGCTTTCCATTTTGAATTTCTAATCACATAAAAAATAGAAACTATTCTGTTATGCAGATGACTGCATTATTGTAAAAATGGTATAAAAAATAATAGTGCATTTGTGAAAGCATATTGGACCCACCAGCTGACGTGTATTGGATGCGTGACTTGATTTGTTTACTCTTGAACATCGGCAAAAATCGTACATTTCCGTTACTTTGAGCTTAATTTCAAGGTATTTTTAGTCCATAAACCATTCAAATCACCTCTAGTTCTGTAATATATCTTCCATTCTGTCAAATTAAACCAAGAAAATGAGAATACAACCATAAATACCATATGAAAATACACCGCAGAGTTGCTGTTTGTAACGACAGTCAGTCTGAGTTTTTTTCTTTATGCACTGCGTGCTGCAGAATTTTTTTTTATACTGCGCACACTGACCACTCAGACCCATTCTCTCATATGGAAGCCGCTAGAATTTTGGCGTACTATTATGGGACCAACACTGGCTTGCAAACCATAATATTACGGGGCCAACAGTGAAAGAGTTAATCAATAAATTATGTACAGTAAGTGGAGAATTATCACTTTTTCACTGATGGGAAGCACTTCATGGCTTCTCTTAGGATTTGAAGTACAGCTGCTGTCACTACTTTTGTGCTTTGGTGTAATTATTAAGCAAAATTAAGGGTTATTTTCGAGCCATGGGAAACCGCGGAAACCAGACCCGTAGATATGGGGGTCCTACTTTAGTGATAAACACATTCACAATATATACTGTACTTACAATATACAGTAGTGTACAGTGTACTTCCCATGTAATTCAGAATAAAATCTTCTGTATCGATCAATTTAGAAATATTGCCAGAACAAGGATAGATGTTTTCAAGAGGGTAGGCAACTTCCTTCTGCGAGTACCAGATCCACCTCGTTGTGACGGCTATGTGGGTGTGTGTGCTGATCCAACTGGTTGTGACAGCTATATGGGTGTATGTGCTTCTAACACAAAAGACCTGCTGGACCAGGTGGTCACCAGGGAAACCTCAGGACAGATAGTACAAGTAAACAAACAATCAAAACTGGCCCTATCTACAGTAAATACAGGCATCCACACCTAGAAGTACATGTGAATAACCTAGGAAAAATAAGCTTTAAACTGGTTCTTCAAGCTTTAAAATAGTTCTCCAAGCTTAAGAATGGTTCTCCAAGCTTTAAAAAATGTGTTACAAAGAAAGAGAAGACACAATAAGAATTATTTTCTTTTCAACACACCAGCTGTCTCCCACTGAGGCAGTGACCCAAGAAAAGAAGAAACACTTTCACCATCACTCCATCACTATCTTGCCAGAGTCTTGCTGATACTATAGTTCAGAAGTTCCTCCAAATTTCAAATATCCCCTCCACTCCTTCAGAGTGCAGGCATTGTACTTCCCACCTCTAGAACTCTAGTCCGGTTGACCATTTTCCCTGAATCATTTCACAGATGTTACCTTGCTCACACTCCAACAGCACGTCAAATCCCAAAAAACCAGTTGCCTCCACTCACTCCTATCTAACATCCTCACAGAATAAATAAGGAAGATTTTCTATCAGTATCAACAGGAAGAACAAGAGATATTTACTGAGGAGGAGGAAATAATGAGATATTAAAATACTCTTGAGAGAGTGATAGCAAGATAGACTATATTAAATGTTTAAGGCAAGACACCATGATCTTGCCTCTCTTGTAGCTACTGATAGGTTAATGTTCTCTTGTAGCTACTGGTAGTTTAATGTTCTCTTGTAGCTACTGGTAGTTTAATGTTCTCTTGTAGCTACTGGTAGTTTAATGTTCTCTTGTAGCTACTGGTAGGTTAATGTTCTCTTGTAGCTACTGGTAGGTTAATGTTCTCTTGTAGCTGCTGGTAGGTTAATGTTCTCTTGTAGCTACTGTCAGGTTAATGTTCTCTTGTAGCTACTGTCAGGTTAATGTTCTCTTGTAGCTACTGGTGGGTTAATGTTCTCTTGTAGCTACTGGTAGTTTAATGTTCTCTTGTAGCTACTGGTAGGTTAATGTTCTCTTGTAGCTACTGGTAGGTTAATGTTCTCTTGTAGCTACTGGTAGGTTAATGTTCTCTTGTAGCTACTGGTAGGTTAATGTTCTCTTGTAGCTACTGGTAGGTTAATGTTCTCTTGTAGCTACTGGTAGGTTAATGTTCTCTTGTAGCTACTGGTAGGTTAATGTTCTCTTGTAGCTACTGGTAGGTTAATGTTCTCTTGTAGCTACTGCTAGTTTAATGTTCTCTTGTAGCTACTGGTGGGTTTATGTTCTCTTGTAGCTACTGGTAGGTAATGGTTCTTGTAGCTACTGGTGTAATGTTCTCTTGTAGCTACTGGTGGTTAATGTTCTCTTGTAGCTACTGGTGGGTTAATGTTCTCTTGTAGTTACTGGTAGGTTAGTGTTCTCTTGTAGCTGCTGGTAGGTTAATGTTCTCTTGTAGCTACTGGTAGGTTAATGTTCTCTTGTAGCTACTGGTGGGTTAATGTTCTCTTGTAGCTACTGGTGGGTTAATGTTCTCTTGTAGTTACTGGTAGGTTAGTGTTCTCTTGTAGCTGCTGGTAGGTTAATGTTCTCTTGTAGCTACTGGTAGGTTAATGTTCTCTTGTAGCTACTGGTGGGTTAATGTTCTCTTGTAGCTACTGGTGGGTTAATGTTCTCTTGTAGCTACTGGTGGGTTAATGTTCTCTTGTAGTTACTGGTAGGTTAGTGTTCTCTTGTAGCTACTGGTAGGTTAATGTTCTCTTGTAGCTACTGGTAGGTTAATGTTCTCTTGTAGCTACTGGTAGGTTAATGTTCTCTTGTAGCTCTGGTAGGTTAATGTTGCTACTGTGGTAATGTTCTTGACTACTGGTAGGTTAATGTTCTCTTGTAGCTACTGGTGGGTTAATGTTCTCTTGTAGCTACTGGTGGTTAATGTTCTCTTGTAGCTACTGATAGGTTAATGTTCTCTTGTAGCTACTGGTAGGTTAATGTTCTCTTGTAGCTACTGGTAGGTTAATGTTCTCTTGTAGCTGCTGGTAGGTTAATGTTCTGTTGTAGCTACTGGTAGGTTAATGTTCTCTTGTAGCTACTGGTGGGTTAATGTTCTCTTGTAGCTACTGGTGGGTTAATGTTCTCTTGTAGCTACTGGTGGGTTAATGTTCTCTTGTAGCTACTGGTAGGTTAATGTTCTCTTGTAGCTACTGGTAGGTTAATGTTCTCTTGTAGCTACTGGTGGGTTAATGTCTCTTGTAGCTACTGGTGGTTAATGTTCTCTTGTAGCTACTGGTGGTTAATGTTCTCTTGTAGCTACTGGTGGGTTAATGTTCTCTTGTTAGCTACTGGTAGGTTAATGTTCTCTTGTAGCTACTGGTGGGTTAATGTTCTCTTGTAGCTACTGGTGGTTAATGTTCTCTTGTAGCTACTGTAGGTTAATGTTCTCTTGTAGCTACTGGTGGTTAATGTTCTCTTGTAGCTACTGGTTGGTTAATGTTCTCTTTTAGCTACTGGTGGGTTAATGTTCTCTTGTAGCTACTGGTGGGTTAATGTTCTCTTTTAGCTACTGGTGGGTTAATGTTCTCTTGTAGCTACTGGTGGGTTAATGTTCTCTTGTAGCTACTGGTGGGTTAATGTTCTCTTGTTAGCTACTGGTAGGTTAATGTTCTCTTGTAGCTACTGGTGGGTTAATGTTCTCTTGTAGCTACTGGTAGGTTAATGTTCTCTTTTAGCTACTGGTGGGTTAATGTTCTCTTGTAGCTACTGGTGGGTTAATGTTCTCTTGTAGCTACTGGTGGGTTAATGTTCTCTTGTAGCTACTGGTGGGTTAATGTTCTCTTGTAGCTACTGGTAGGTTAATGTTCTCTTGTAGTTACTGGTAGGTTAATGTTCTCTTGTAGCTACTGGTAGGTTAATGTTCTGTTGTAGCTACTGGTAGGTTAATGTTCTCTTGTAGCTACTGGTGGGTTAATGTTCTCTTTTAGCTACTGGTAGGTTAATGTTCTCTTGTAGCTACTGGTGGGTTAATGTACTCTTGAAGCTACTGGTGGGTTAATGTTCTCTTGTAGGTACTGGTAGGTTAATGTTCTCTTGTAGCTACTGGTGGGTTAATGTTCTCTTGTAGCTACTGGTGGGTTAATGTTCTCTTGTAGCTACTGGTGGGTTAATGTTCTCTTGTAGCTACTGGGTTAATGTTCTCTTTAGTACTGGTAGGTTAATGTTCTCTTGTAGCTACTGGTGGGTTAATGTCTCTTGTAGCTACTGGTGGGTTAATGTTCTCTTGTAAGTACTGGTGGTTAATGTTCTCTTGTAGCTACTGTGGGTTAATGTTCTCTTGTAGTTACTGGTAGGTTAATGTTCTCTTGTAGCTACTGGTAGGTTAATGTTCTCTTTAGCTACTGGTGGGTTAATGTTCTCTTGTAGTTACTGGTGGTTAATGTTCTCTTGACTACTGGTGGTTAATGTTCTCATTGTAGTTACTGGTGGTTAATGTTCTCTTGTAGCTACTGGTGGTTAATGTTTCTCTTGTAGCTACTGGTGGGTTAATGTTCTCTTGTAGCTACTGGTGGGTTAATGTTCTCTTGTAGCTACTGGTGGGTTAATGTTCTCTTGTAGTTACTGGTGGGTTAATGTTCTCTTGTAGCTACTGGTGGGTTAATGTTCTCTTGTAGCTACTGGTGGGTTAATGTTCTCTTGTAGCTACTGGTGGGTTAATGTTCTCTTGTAGTTACTGGTGGGTTAATGTTCTCTTGTAGCTACTGGTGGTTAATGTTCTCTTGTAGTACTGGTAGGTTAATGTTCTCTTGTAGCTACTGGTGGGTTAATGTTCTCTTGTAGCTACTGGTGGGTTAATGTTCTCTTGTAGTTACTGGTGGGTTAATGTTCTCTTGTAGCTACTGGTAGGTTAATGTTCTCTTGTAGTTACTGGTAGGTTAATGTTCTCTTGTAGCTACTGGTGGGTTAATGTTCTCTTGTAGCTACTGGTGGGTTAATGTTCTCTTGTAGCTACTGGTAGGTTAATGTTCTCTTGTAGCTACTGGTGGGTTAATGTTCTCTTGTAGCTACTGGTGGGTTAATGTTCTCTTGTAGCTACTGGTGGGTTAATGTTCTCTTGTAGTTACTGGTAGGTTAATGTTCTCTTGTAGCTACTGGTGGGTTAATGTTCTCTTGTAGCTACTGGTGGGTTAATGTTCTCTTGTAGCTACTGGTGGTTAATGTTCTCTTGTAGCTACTGGTGGTTAATGTTCTCTTGTAGCTACTGGTAGGTTAATGTTCTCTTGTAGCTACTGTAGGTTTAATGTTCTCTTGTAGTGCTTGGTAGGTTAATGTTCTCTTGTAGCTACTGGTAGGTTAATGTTCTCTTGTAGTTACTGGTAGGTTAATGTTCTCTTGTAGCTACTGGTAGGTTAATGTTCTCTTGTAGTACTGGTAGTTAATGTTCTCTTGTAGCTACTGGTAGTTTAATGTTCTCTTGTAGTTACTGGTAGTTTAATGTTCTCTTGTAGTTACTGGTAGTTTAATGTTCTCTTGTAGTTACTGCTAGTTTAATGTTCTCTTGTAGCTACTGGTAGGTTAATGTTCTCTTGTAGCTACTGTAGTTTAATGTTCTCTTGAGTTACTGTGTTTAAATGTTCTCTTGTAGCTACTGGTATAGTTTAATGTTCTCTTGAGTACTGGTGTTTAATGTTCTCTTGCAGTACTGCAGTTTAATTTCTGTAGCTACTGGTGTTAATGTTCTTTGTAGTTATGTAGGTTAAATGTTCATATTGCAGTATTACTGGTAGTTTACATGTCTCTTGTACTACTGTGGGTAATATTCAATCTTGAGTAGCTGGTAGGTTAATGAAGTCCTTGTCAGTTGACTAGTACTAAATTTACAAGTCTATACAATCAGCAGGTCCATACACGTACTTGTACGCATAATATTCTTAGTTGCCATTCATTTAATTCTCACTGAGTAGATAAGCGTATCTACATATGAAGAATGGGTCTATGTGGTCAGTGAGCACAGTATAAAAAAAACTCATGCAGCACACAGTGCATAATGAGAAAAAAAAACTTTGTGTTTTTGGATTAAAACATCGACTTTGCACTATATTTTCGTATGGTATTTATTGTTGTATTCTAGTTTTCCTGGTCTCATTGTATAGAATGGAAGACATATTACAGAAATTGAGATGATTTTGACTGGTTTTACAATGAAAAGTACCTTGAAATTGAGCTCAAAGTAGCAGAAATGTTCAATTTTTACCAAAGTTCAAAAGTAAACAAATCATGCTAAGCGTCCAATACACGTCAACTGGTGAGTCTAATATTCTTTCACAAGTGTGCCGATATTATTTATACCATTTTTACACTAGTGCATAACAGTAAATCTTATTTTTTTTGTGAGAATAAAAATTCAAAGTGGAAAGCAAAAGAAATGTAAGAGGGGCCTAGCGATGTGACTTATGAACAGAGGAAATGTTATTTTAGTGCCAGGAATGTCTTTCTTGTTTATTCTGGTCCCTATTTGGAAATTGGCATCTTTTGAAATTTGTGTGAAATTGGCAGAATTGCTAAATTCTGACCACACTATTGGATAGTTGAAATCGGTAAATTGATGGTTTCTTGTACTCATTCGATAGAAAAAATGGAGTAATGGCGAAATAGTTATGATTCTTGTCGACTAGAACATTGGAATTGGCCGAAAATAGGGCTCAAAATGAGCAAAATCGCCAATGTGTAAACATCTTCGAGACTGCTAACTTCGCGAGAGCATAATTCCATAAGTTTTTCATCAAATTTCATACTTTTGGTGTCATTATGACCAGGAAAAGATTCTCTATCTTTTCACAAGAATTTTTTATTTTTTTTTTAATTTGGGGGACCCTGAGAACAAGTCTCTGAGAGTGTCTGTGGACCCCTGAAAGGGTTAATGTTCCCTTGTAGCTATTGGTAGGTTAATGTTCTCTTTTAGATACTGGTAGGTTAATGTTCTCTTGTAGCTACTGGTAGGTTAATATTCTCTTGTAGCTAGTGGTAGGTTAATGTTCTCTTGTAGCTAGTGGTAGGTTAATGTTCTCTTGTAGCTAGTGGTAGGTTAATGTTCTCTTGTAGCTAGTGGTAGGTTAATGTTCTCTTGTAACTACAAGAGGTTATTTCATGCATCAGTATCCTTGATGATCATCCTATGTGGGATGTAGGAAGGGCATCCTCTCCTCTGCTAAGAGGACATTTTTGTCATTTTGAGCACAGAACAAGGCTGATTGACTCCATTTACCTTGAGTGCATGATGGGTATGTTCAGATTTATAGTGCATGACTGGTAGTTATCACTGTAGTCATGAGTAGTTTGTATTCTTACTTGTCACTGAATCAGTTTAAGGTACTAATGTATACCTGGTATGGCCTAGCCACAGACCAGGCCACAGGCATGTTGACCCCCCAAAACCCTCTACAGGTATACTCAACGTATACTAAACATTGTACTATTTTCATTTAGCTACATCTCTCTTTTGTTAATACATACTTAACCCTTAAACTGTCCAAGCAGATATATGTTCACATGCGTAGTGCTCCAGAAGTAGATCTACTTTTTTTTTTACATGTTTTCAAATGTAAAAAAAGAAAAGATCTACTTTTTTTACATACTTTCAAATGTTGAAAAAATGTAGATCTACGTTTGGACAGTTTAAGGGTTAAAATTGTACTGTTCATATAGCTACCTCACTTTTTGTATATATAAAAAACTCCTACTCAGTAACCTATGTCTAGTTCTTAAGTAGTGTGTGAGCATTAATATTAGTCTTCCTGAAGTGCACACCATGATAGTAGCTTTCTTTGTGCTTAACAGTATTTTATTACATGTAAACTACATTTTGCATACTGCAGAAAAAAATATTGTTTAAAATGCAGTAATAACTAAACAAATCTGTTAGATAATGTATTAATGTGAAGGTGACATCCACAGAGCCCAGGCGTGTCTAGGACATTGTTGCTTAGTGAATAAAAGTGTGCGGCAGGTGTTTATGAGAGTGTTGATGTTGTATGGCCTGCCTCGCTATGACGATGACGAGGAAGGTGGCCAGCAGTCTCAACTGACAACGCTGCTCATGGTCAACATGGGCAGGATGAGGTTCCCTAGTTATGACATCATCAGGGACCATGCCATCTTCCAGACTAGAGATGATCTCATTCGGTAAGCAACAGACCCATGGTCTTTACTAAAACATTGATACACAGGAGGGCCCTAGGTAGTATGTTGGTAGACAGCAACCAACAGGAGGGCACTGGGTAGTAGGTTGGTAGATAGCATCCAACAGGAGGGCCCTAGGTAGTAGGTTGGTAGACAGCAACCAACAGGAGGACCCTAGGTAGTAGGTTGGTAGATAGCATCCAACAGGAGGACCCTAGGTAGTAGGTTGGTAGACAGCAGCTGCCCAGGGAGGTACTATCGTCCTGCCAAGTAAGTGTGAAGCAGAAACCTGTAATTGTTTTACATGATGGTAGGATTGCTGGTGTCTTTTTTTCTGTCTCATAAACATGATGCAAGATTTCAGGTATGCCTTGCTACTTCTACTTACACTTAGGTCACACTACACATGCATGTATAAGCATATATATTCACACCCCTCTGGATTTTCTACTATTTTCTTGCTGGTTCTTGTTCTTGTTTATTTTCTCTTATCTCCATGGGGAAGTGGAACAGAATTCTTTCTCTGTAAGTCATGTGTGTTGTAAGAGGTGACTAATGTGCCGGGAGCAAGGGGCTAGTAACCTTTCCTCTTGTATACATTACTAAAGTTAAAACGAGAAGCATGTCTAGGCCCCTTGCACACAAAACCTCTTTTACCCCCTCCCTCCATCCTTTCCTAAGATGATCCCTACCCCTCCACTAGAGATTTATACACCCTCCAAGTTATTCTGTTTTGCTCCATCCTTTCTAAATGACCAAACCACCTCACTAACCCCTCTTCAGCCCTCTGAATAATACTTTTAGTAACTACACCTCCTAATTTCCACACTATGAATTCTTTGCATAATATTTACACCACACATTTCCCTTAGACACGACATCTCCACTGCTTCCAGCCTCCTACTCACTGCCGCATTTACAACTTGTGCTTCACACCCATGTAAGAGTGTTGGTACCACTATACTCTTGTACATTCCCTTCTTTGCCTCCATGGATAATGTTTTTTGTCTCCACAGATACCTCAGTGCACCACCCACCCTTTTTCCTTCTTCAATTATGTGGTTAACCTCATCCTTCATAAACCCATCTGCTGACAAATCTATTCCCAAGTATCCAAACACATTTGCTTCTTCCATACTCACTCTCTCCAATGTGATATCCAATTTTTCTTTACCTAACTTGTTTCATACCCTCATCACCTTACTCTTATCTATGTTCACTTTCAACTTTATTTATTTAGCACCCCAATCATCTCTCACCAAGGCAGAGTGACCCAAAAACCAAGAAATGCTATGAATTTTTTCTTCTTTTTACATTTTTGGGATATTACCCCATTCCAAACTACCATCGGATCCTCCATTTCTCCCAAAATACTTCTTAAATCACAACCAAAGCTTCGTCTTGAAGCCAGACAGGATGCCTTAAGCTAAATTGATAACTTAGTCACACAGCACACTCTTACACAAATTATTTATGTTTATGGTTCTGTTCATCAATCCACTGATGCAGCTGGTAGTGCTGCTGTTATCATAGCGATGGCTCTCATAAAGAAATTGGAACATGCACCAATAACTGGGCCTCTACACTTCTAACAGAACTGTTTGCTATACTCCTTGCACTCAAATGCATCCATTCTCTACCATCCATTCTCTGTCATCCATAAATGCTCTTAACCCCATAAGTATAACTTGCAGCATCCTTGTGTCAGAAGACAGACACAGTTATGGTAGGATTATGGACAGTGGAGTCAGAGTACACCTTTTGTGGATTCCATCTCACATTGGTCTTCAGATGTATGATAGAACTGATGAATTGGCTATGTTGTATGTTTTCAAAGAGAGAGTAGATTACAATCTTGGCTTGTCAGTCAGCAGTTTGAGAACAATAATACAAAAGTTACTTCAGCTGAACTTTATTGACTTGAGACTGAGGGAGATTGACACCAATCAGTCTATCTATCATCATTCCATCATGCAGGAGGAGCCACACGTCTCTGGTGCCTCCAACAAAATAAGCAAACTCTTGGACGTCACTACTGCCTGACTCTGGCTGGGTTACCAGTATCTAAATCACTGCCACTAGATGTAGATAAGTCTGTTGAGTATACCTGGTAAAGTGTATGGTAGAGTTGTTATTGAAAGAATTAAGAGTAAGACAGAGAATAGGATAGCAGATGAACAAGGAGGCTTTAAGAAAGGTAGGGAATGTGTGGACCAGGTGTTTACAGTGAAACATATAAGTGAACAGTATTTAGATAAGGCTAAAGAGGTCTTTGTGGCATTTATGGATTTGGAAAAGGCATATGACAGGGTGGATAGGGGGGCAATGTGGCAGATGTTGCAGGTGTATGGTGTAGGAGGTAGGTTACTGAAAGCAGTGAAGAGTTTTTACGAGGATAGTGAGGCTCAAGTTAGAGTATGTAGGAAAGAGGGAAATTATTTCCCAGTAAAAGTAGGCCTTAGACAAGGATGTGTGATGTCACCGTGGTTGTTTAATATATTTATAGATGGGGTTGTAAGAGAAGTAAATGTGAGGGTCTTGGCAAGAGGCGTGGAGTTAAAAGATAAAGAATCACACATAAAGTGGGAGTTGTCACAGTTGCTCTTTGCTGATGACACTGCTCTTGGGAGATTCTGAAGAGAAGCTGCAGAGATTGGTGGATGAATTTGGTAGGGTGTGCAAAAGAAGAAAATTAAAAGTGAATACAGGAAAGAGTAAGGTAATGAGGATAACAAAAAGATTAGGTGATGAAAGATTGGATATCAGATTGGAGGGAGAGAGTATGGAGGAGGTGAATGTATTCAGATATTTGGGAGTGGACGTGTCAGCGGATGGGTCTATGAAAGATGAGGTGAATCATAGAATTGATGAGGGAAAAGGGTGAGTGGTGCACTTAGGAGTCTGTGGAGACAAAGAACTTTGTCCTTGGAGGCAAAGAGGGGAATGTATGAGAGTATAGTTTTACCAACGCTCTTATATGGGTGCGAAGCATGGGTGATGAATGTTGCAGCGAGGAGAAGGCTGGAGGCAGTGGAGATGTCATGTCTGAGGGCAATGTGTGGTGTGAATATAATGCAGAGAATTCATAGTTTGGAAGTTAGGAGGAGGTGCGGGATTACCAAAACTGTTGTCCAGAGGGCTGAGGAAGAGTTGTTGAGGTGGTTCAGACATGTAGAGAGAATGGAGCGAAACAGAGTGACTTCAAGAGTGTATCAGACTGTAGTGGAAGGAAGGCGGGGTAGGGGTCGGCCTAGGAAAGGTTGGAGGGAGGGGGTAAAGGAGGTTTTGTGTGCGAGGGGCTTGGACTTCCAGCAGGCATGCGTGAGCATGTTTGATAGGAGTGAATGGAGACAAATGGTTTTTAATACTTGACGTGCTGTTGGAGTGTGAGCAAAGTAACATTTATGAAGGGGCTCAGGGAAACCTGCAGGCCAGACTTTAGTCCTGCAGATGGGAAGTACAGTGCCTGCACTCTGAAGGAGGGGTGTTAATGTTGCAGTTTAAAAACTGTAGTGTAAAGCACCCTTCTGGCAAGACAGTGATGGAGTGAATGATGGTGAAAGTTTTTCTTTTTCGGGCCACCCTGTCTTGGTGGGAATCGGCCAGTGTGATAATAAAAAAAAATAATAATAGATGTAGACCAAACCAAATGTAAACTTTGTCGCACCCTGCATCATTATATATTGGAATGCAATAAAAATTAGTGAATTCAGAGACAACTCACTCAGAAATGTTCAAGATATGTCAAAGTATTTTATCCACAGTGGTATATTACAAACTATTCTGGAAAAATACCCTGACTTTGCTCACTGTAAATAAAACTAATTTTTTTTTTTCCAACAAACCTGCCATATCCCACCAGGGTGGGATGGCCCAAAAAGAAAAACGAAAGTTTCTCTTTTTAAATTTAGTAATTTATACGGGAGAAGGGGTTACTAGCCCCTTGCTCCCGGCATTTTAGTTGCCTCCTACAACACGCATGGCTTACGGAGGAAGAATTCTGTTCCACTTCCCCATGGAGTTAAGAGGAAATAAACAAGAACAAGAACTAGAAAGAAAATAGAAGAAAGCCCAGAGGGGTGTGTATATATATATGCTTGTACATGTATGTGTGGTGTGACCTAAGTGTAAGTAGAAGTAGCAAGACGTACCTGAAATCTTGCATGTTTACGAGACAGAAAAAAGGACACCAGCAATCCTACCATCATGTAAAATAATTACAGGCTTTCGTTTTACACTCACTTGGCAAGGACGGTAGTACCTCCATGGGCGGTAATAAAGCTAATATTTGTATTAATAACTCATTGCAATTGTGATCATGTGTAGTCGTGTGAATGATTCATTACCTTTGTAACTTGTTCAGCTATCAAAACTTTGTGGCCCAGTTTCTGGATCCATTATATACCTCTAATCTTTTTGATTACCACCCACAGGATGGGTATGTGGTGCATAATAAAGATATCAAACTCAACTATTCTCTTTACATTTAGTAATTCATACAAGAGAAGGTGTTACTAGCCCCTTGTTCCCAAGATATACAAATACAGTATCTGGTAAAGTCTATTTACTCTGCTTTCAGATTTGAAAATTGTTCCCAAATTCAGGGAGACGTTGAGGAATGTATGGAAAAGCATAGGTGGGAGGCGGCTCTGGAGCACTGTGACCTGGCCAGGACCATATACCACAACCTTATTAATGATATCCACCTTATGTAAGTATACCAGTATCCTCCAGGGTATACATCTCATGTAAGTATACTAGTAACTTCCAGGATATGCATCAAGGTATTATGATCTAAAATAAGGAACATTTGCCATCATTCTTACCCCCTTCCCTCATCCTCCAGGGTACAGGTACTGCTCTTCTCACCTCCAGGACTCGAGTCCTGCTGACATGTTTCCCTGAATCCCTTCATATATGTTATCTTGCTCACACTCCAATAGCATGTTAAATCCTAAATATTGCTTGTCTGCACTTACTGCAATCTAACACACTTACACAGACCTGCTAGATCCTCAAGCTCCTTATATTTAAAACCACCACCTACCCCTTCCTTGGACAAGCCCTCCCCTCATTACTCTATTCTTCCTCCCTCCCCTTATCACCCCCTTCTTACCCCCTCCCCCTTTCCTATTATATTTTGTTGTAACTGGAAATCCTGCCTGCATGTTGTATGTGCTCAGTATATGTTAACCCTCTCACTGTTGCGACCACTGGAATTAAACCCCTTTCACCGTTGCCACCACTGGAATTAAGACCCTTTCACTGTTGCGACCACTGGAATTAAGTGGTGTCAGTGTCAGGGTTTAAAAAAGTGTATATTTTCCAGAATAACCAAGATTCTTTTTCTGAAGGTATTGATGCAAAAAAAATGTGAAATTTGATGGAAAACTTGTGGAATTATGCAGCTGCAAATTTGGTGATCTAAGCACAATTTACTTTTTTACACAGTACAAATAATGTAATTAACATGTCATAAAACATTGTTAGGCACAAAAGAAAGTTGCTAATTATGTGACCCACTGCCTGGGGCATCATTTTTTATATACTGTGCACACCCGTTGCACACAACCATTCTTTCGCCTCTAGGCCAAAATTTACTGTTCACAGCATATTTGAGGGCGCCATTAAGAGACATCAACATAAGCACTGCTAGCCTTGGTAATATAATTTATGGCAAAAACAGTAAAAGCTTATTTTGACATTGTAGCACACGCTGAGTTACGAGAAATCCTTGGTTTAATTCAAATTCAAATATTAAAATTAAAATACAGCCATGGGCCAGGCTTGTCTGGCACTTGCCTGGTCAACCAGGCTGTTGCTGCTGGAAGCCTGCTGCCCCATGTATCTATCACAGCCTGGTTGATCTGGCACCTGGTGAAGATACTTGTCCAGTTTCCTCTTGAAGGATTCTACACTTGTTCCAGCTGTGTTTCTGATATCTTCGGGTAAGATGTTGAAAAGTCTGGGACCCCAGTTGTTGATACATTGTTTCCTTATTGTTGGAGTAGGAACATAAAAATATGAAGGGATTCAGGGAAACCAGTTAGCTGGGGTGGGAAGTACAGTGCATTCATTCGGAAGGAGTGGAAATGTGTTGCAGTTTTTGAACTGTAGTATCAGCACGCCTCTGCCAAGACAGTGATGGAATGAGTGATGAAAGTGTTTCTTCTTTATTTGGGTCACACTGCCTTGGTGGGAAATGGCCAATGTGTTTAAAAAAAAAATAGAGCTAGATCTTGTTTAATGCGAATAAGGAATCCCATAGTGGTACCATTATTCATATTTGCTCTATTTGAATTGCAGTCGAACCTCAGATGTCAGTTGCATTACTTGTCAAATAAATCGGTTTTACATAAGAACATAAGAAAGGAGGAACACTGCAGCAGGCCTGCTGGCCCATACTAGGCAGGTCCTTTACAATTCATCCCACTAACAAACATTTGACCAACCCAATTTTCAATGCCACCCAAGAAACAAGCTCCAATGTGCAAGTCCCTCTCAAATCCAACCCCTTCCACTCATGTACTTATCCAACCTAAATTTGAAACTACCCAAAGTCCTAGCCTCAATAACCCAACTAGGTAGACTGTTCCACTCATCAACTACCCTATTTCCAAACCAATACTTTCCTATGTCCTGGTTTTTTGTATGTGCTCTTGGTTTTCAACAGACAAGTTTTTATGCATACCGAGCAGCTGAGGTCACGTGCTCATGGAATGTGCACTGGACAAAGGGTCGAGAGTCTGGGTCTGAGTCAGTATAGCCACTAACTCACATGCTGTAAGCATCTCTTGAGCTTTTTTTTATGCATCTTGTGAATTTTTTTGTTTTGCAGTTTTGGTGCAATTTTTTTATTGTGTGAGATGCTATCAAGGGCCTGTAAAAACCTCACTGGACAGGTTTTTAGTGAGACACAGAACCATTATGAGCCAGAACAAGTTGTTAGTGGTGAAAAGAGACAAAGAAGAGAACATTAGCTCTCCTCTGACAGCTAAGGAACACTTAAATTTTTATTGACTGTACAGTAAGTACACCTACCATCCGACTTACGACATGCTCGACTTAGGACCACTCGACTTACGACAGTGTTTTTTATGCCAAATTTCTGGGAAATAAACAACTATTTGTGTTGTACACAGTGTTTATCCTAAACCTTACAGTATAAAATACACTACTAACAACATAAAAAGTAAAGTAAAACATGAAATACCAAAATAAAACAATAAAATAAAGTCATTACAAAAATGTTTTGTTGATATTCAGTAGTAAAGTTCGGCTTATGACCATTTCGACTTATGACCGGTTTCTCAGAACCGAACTTGGTTGTAAGTCGGATGGTAGGTGTATTTCAGTTAAATTTTCACTTGGTTGTGAGTGTGGGGGAAGTTCGTGAGGCAGTAGGTAAAATGAAAGGGGGTAAGGCAGCCGGGATTGATGGGATAAAGATAGAAATGTTAAAAGCAGGTGGGGATATAGTTTTGGAGTGGTTGGTGCAATTATTTAATAAATGTATGGAAGAGGGTAAGGTACCTAGGGATTGGCAGAGAGCATGCATAGTTCCTTTGTATAAAGGCAAAGGGGATAAAAGAGAGTGCAAAAATTATAGGGGGATAAGTCTGTTGAGTGTACCTGGTAAAGTGTATGGTAGAGTTATAATTGAAAGAATTAAGAGTAAGACGGAGAATAGGATAGCAGATGAACAAGGAGGCTTTAGGAAAGGTAGGGGGTGTGTGGACCAGGTGTTTACAGTGAAACATATAAGTGAACAGTATTTAGATAAGGCTAAAGAGGTCTTTGTGGCATTTATGGATTTGGAAAAGGCGTATGACAGGGTGGATAGGGGGGCAATGTGGCAGATGTTGCAAGTGTATGGTGTAGGAGGTAGGTTACTGAAAGCAGTGAAGAGTTTTTACGAGGATAGTGAGGCTCAAGTTAGAGTATGTAGGAAAGAGGGAAATTTTTTCCCAGTAAAAGTAGGCCTTAGACAGGGATGTGTGATGTCACCGTGGTTGTTTAATATATTTATAGATGGGGTCGTAAGAGAAGTAAATGCGAGGGTCTTGGCAAGAGGCGTGGAGTTAAAAGATAAAGAATCACACACAAAGTGGGAGTTGTCACAGCTGCTCTTTGCTGATGACACTGTGCTCTTGGGAGATTCTGAAGAGAAGTTGCAGAGATTGGTGGATGAATTTGGTAGGGTGTGCAAAAGAAGAAAATTAAAGGTGAATACAGGAAAGAGTAAGGTTATGAGGATAACAAAAAGATTAGGTGATGAAAGATTGAATATCAGATTGGAGGGAGAGAGTATGGAGGAGGTGAACGTATTCAGATATTTGGGAGTGGACGTGTCAGCGGATGGGTCTATGAAAGATGAGGTGAATCATAGAATTGATGAGGGAAAAAAGAGTGAGTGGTGCACTTAGGAGTCTGTGGAGACAAAGAACTTTGTCCTTGGAGGCAAAGAGGGGAATGTATGAGAGTATAGTTTTACCAACGCTCTTGTATGGGTGTGAAGCGTGGGTGATGAATGTTGCAGCGAGGAGAAGGCTGGAGGCAGTGGAGATGTCATGTCTGAGGGCAATGTGTGGTGTGAATATAATGCAGAGAATTCGTAGTTTGGAAGTTAGGAGGAGGTGCGGGATTACCAAAACTGTTGTCCAGAGGGCTGAGGAAAGGGTTGTTGAGGTGGTTCGGACATGTAGAGAGAATGGAGCGAAACAGAATGACTTCAAGAGTGTATCAGTCTGTAGTGGAAGGAAGGCGGGGTAGGGGTCGGCCTAGGAAGGGTTGGAGGGAGGGGTAAAGGAGGTTTTGTGTGCGAGGGGCTTGGACTTCCAGCAGGCATGCGTGAGCGTGTTTGATAGGAGTGAATGGAGACAAATGGTTTTTAATACTTGACGTGCTGTTGGAGTGTGAGCAAAGTAACATTTATGAAGGGATTCAGGGAAACCGGCAGGCCGGACTTGAGTCCTGGAGATGGGAAGTACAGTGCCTGCACTCTGAAGGAGGGGTGTTAATGTTGCAGTTTAAAAACTGTAGTGTAAAGCACCCTTCTGGCAAGACAGTGATGGAGTGAATGATGGTGAAAGTTTTTCTTTTTCGGGCCACCCTGCCTTGGTGGGAATCGGCCGGTGTGATAATAAAAAAATAATAATTTATTTTTACAGTTTCCCTGTGCTGTATAATTATACATTGTTTAATGTAGTAATTAGTACATTATTAATATATGCATTTTTATATTGTCACTTGGGGTCTGGAACAGATTAATTCTATATATATTATTCTTTATGGGAAAAATTGCTTTGGGCGATTTTAATGTTGAATCGACATTGGAACAAAATAAATAAAAAAACTGAGGTTCCACTGTATATGTAATTTCTGTGCATGTTTTGAAGAATTTGGGTAAAAAATAGCATTAATTAATTTTACACTATTCAATTTGACACTAATCAAGACCTGGCTGTACTCTTGTTTTGATGAATAAAATATATGAGCAACACTGGGATCTTGATTGCTCAAACCATGTGTCTTATTTATCAACTAGTCAGCATCATATACCATGGATACTATCTTTTTCTCATTTTCGTGCCACTAACAGGGAGCATGATGCTTCGCTACCCAGGTTCTTGCGGCGCTTCACCTCAGTGTCGCTCCTGGTATACGTCTTGACATGCTCAGTGGAGTGTTACCAGAAACTGAAGAATTACCACAAGGCTGTGGAGCAGCTGCAAGAACTGTTAGCTCAAACAACACACCTGCAAGACTACCGTGGTCGCTGGTATGACAGACTGGCCCTCAACCTGGAGATGCACTTGAAGAAACCAGCACAGGTGAAAATGAGTGTGATAATAGTATACAGTACCAATAAATTGATAAGACACATGTGTAACAGTTAGGTATCTTTATTCTGAAACATTTCACTTGCACAGTAGGCTTCTTCAGTTGATTACAGAGGAAGCAGCAGAATCAGTACAGATGTAAAGATGATGTAACCAGTCCATCACCCTTGAAGACGTAGTTTTGAGGTAGTCAGTCTCTCAGCCTGGAGAAGAGTTTTGTTCTATAGTCTTGAACAATGTTCCAGACTATGGTCAGTCCTTCAGCCTAGAGGGACTGACCACCTTAAAACTTTGTTTTCAAGGGTGATGGACTGATTACATTGTCTTCACGTCTGTACTGTTTCTGCTGCCTCCTCTGTACTCGACGACGAAGCCTACTGTGTAGACTAAACATTTTAGACTAAAGATACCTAACTGTTTCACATGTGTCTTGCTTATCAGGTGAAAATGAACTTAAACTTTAAGATAAGATAAGATTTCGTTCGGATTTTTAACCCCGGAGGGTTAGCCACCCAGGATAACCCAAGAAAGTCAGTGCGTCATCGAGGACTGTCTAACTTATTTCCATTGGGGTCCTTAATCTTGTCCCCCAGGATGCGACCCACACCAGTCGACTAACACCCAGGTACCTATTTGCTGCTAGGTGAACAGGACAACAGGTGTAAGGAAACGTGTCGAAATGTTTCCACCCGCCGGGAATCGAACCCGGGCCCTCCGTGTGTGAAGCGGGAGCTTTAGCCACCATTTCTCTTGTTTCATTCACCATCGTTATTGTTTCCTCACTAGTTACTTTCCTGGTGACCCATGTTAGTTTATCACTTCATGCCAGTTTCCGTTCTTTATTCATAATCATTATCATCATTATTATTATTATACAGTAAATAACTGCTGTATTATAAGTTATATAATACTAAGTTAGTAAAGTTACATGAAGATCTCATTGATAGTAATGTATTATCAAAGAAAGTCAACCATTTGATAATAATAATCATCAAAGTGAAAGATGACTGGGAATGTTGTAGTTGAGAAGGTGACTTGAGTAATGATGTCTGGTATAAAATGGGACCTGCCTGTACCATTTTATATTTTCTTATTTCTTTGTATTAATTCTAATGTTTTGATGAAGTTGTCATGGCTGCATCAAACACTTCATGATATATGTAGAATTATTGTTGCCTTTTTATCTGTAGCTACAGATGTGGTCTGATAGTGTTTAATCATCCAATGTGTCCATTATGCTGCAGGCTGTTGAAGTAATTAGCAAAGCCTTGAGAGATCCTGAGGTGAGGAAAGGTCACCGTCTCTCACTGAGCATAAGAGCTGAGCGCATGGCAGCATCTGCACGATACAAGAGCTTCATTCCTGCCATAACAGAGATGCCTCTCATGAAGCCTGTAGAAGCCCCCAAAGTTGTTATAGAGGGTCGTAGTCTTCCTGCGTAAGTTCTACAGCAGCTACCAGTGTGTGTATAATATTGTCATAGAAGGATGTATTCTCCCTACGTATGTTTTACAGCAGCTAGCGGTGTGTATAATATTCGTATGAAAGAATGTAGTTGTCCTGTGTAAGTTTTACAGCTGCCAGCAGTGTATATATTTTTATAGAGTATTGTGGTCGTCCTGCATAAGTTTTACAGTAGCTAGCAGTGTGTATAATATTGTTATAGGGGGTTGTAGTCTTTCTGTATATCTAAGAGCCACTGAAGTGTCTATAATATTGTTATATTTTTCTTGCACAAGTGTCAAAGCTGCCAGTAGTGTGTGTGATATTTTTAGAGCTGTCCCATGCCAGTAATGGGTGTTATATTGAGCTAAATGCATATTAATTATATGATGTTAGATCCACCTTCATTCTGAACCATTCAGTCTTTTTACTATCACAACTCTGCCTGCATCCCTGCACATCTCTCCTTTGAAAGACAGGCAGTAAGCCTACACAGTAAATCAAAGAAATAGAGAGAGAGTAATTCTTTATTAAAAAGGCCATTCTCTGTGAGAGTATTAAGTTACATCCTCCACGAATCTGCATGACAGTGTCTTCCATTGCAGACACTGCAAGGCTCCAGGCGGACATCAACCAAATCTTTCAGTGGGCTGCAGAAAACAATATGAAGTTCAACGATGAGAAATTTCAATTACTCCGATATGGTAAACACGAGGAAATTAAATCTTCATCAGAGTACAAAACAGATTCTGGCCACAAAATAGAGCGAAACACCAACGTCAAAGACCTGGGAGTGATCATGTCGGAGGATCTCACCTTCAAGGACCATAACATTGTATCAATCGCATCTGCTAGAAAAATGACAGGATGGATAATGAGAACCTTCAAAACTAGGGAGGCCAAGCCCATGATGACACTCTTCAGGTCACTTGTTCTATCTAGGCTGGAATATTGCTGCACACTAACAGCACCTTTCAAGGCAGGTGAAATTGCTGACCTAGAAAATGTACAGAGAACCTTCACGGCGCGCATAACGGAGATAAAACACCTCAATTACTGGGAGCGCTTGAGGTTCCTAAACCTGTATTCCCTGGAACGCAGGCGGGAGAGATACATGATTATATACACCTGGAAAATCCTAGAGGGACTAGTACCGAACTTGCACACGAAAATCACTCACTACGAAAGCAAAAGACTTGGCAGACAATGCAACATCCCCCCAATGAAAAGCAGGGGTGTCACTAGCACGTTAAAAGACCATACAATAAGTGTCAAGGGCCCGAGACTGTTCAACTGCCTCCCAGCATACATAAGGGGGATTACCAACAGACCCCTGGCAGTCTTCAAGCTGGCACTGGACAAGCACCTAAAGTCGGTTCCTGACCAGCCGGGCTATGGCTCGTACGTTGGTTTGCGTGCAGCCAGCAGCAACAGCCTGGTTGATCAGGCTCTGATCCACCAGGAGGCCTGGTCACAGACCGGGCCGCGGGGGCGTTGACCCCCGGAACTCTCTCCAGGTAAACTCCAGGTAACACTGCAACATCTTCAGGTAAGGATGTTGAAGTCTGGAGGGCCATCTGAACTGTGATGCCTGCATGCTTCTGGGAAGAGAGTGACTGAAAGAGTAATGGTAAATGTGTTTTTTTTTTTTTTTTTTTTTTTTTTTTTAAGGGGGGGGGGGCTACCTCAGCAGAAGATGGCCGATGTATTAAAAAACACAAATAAAAAATTAGGAACTCCCGTTTTATAAAGGCAACAGTCAGGTGGTAAGAGAAAGGTTTGGTCAGGTGACAGGGAGATACAGATCAGGTCTTAGTTCTGGGGTGAATAATGCAGTGCTGACATAAGTATGTGAGGGAGTTGTAGGTTGTACACAGTAAGTCAAAAGGACCTGAGTGTCTGTGAGAGTACATTTCCATGGAAGAGTGTTATTGAATGGTATAGGTCATATGTTTTGTAGTGGGCATGGCCCCAGGGTTACATTTCATGGTGTCTGACACCTGTATGGTGGTAGTCTTGAGACAGACACTCTAGCCTGACACCTGTATGATGGGAGTCTTGAGACATTATTACCTTCACCTTGTTATTATCTTCACCTTGTTATTATCTTCACCTTGTTATTACCTTCACCTTGTTATTACCTTCACCTTGTTATTACCTTCACCTTGTTATTACCTTCACCTTGTTATTACCTTCACCTTGTTATCATCTTCACCTTGTTATTACCCTCGCCTTGTTATTACCTGCACAGTGTTATTACCTTCACATTGTTCATTAGATCACAATGATTGTTTTTCTAGGATTCTAAAAATAACATACAATTCTGGATTTAACACACAACAATAATGGACAGATCTGGACTTAACAGCCTTGTTATGTTTTCTAGATGCTGTCCAGTCATGGATTTTGTCCACTAAATATGGAATCCACTAAATTGGGTTTTCTTAAGTTGAGGTTTTTACTATTTATTTTCATTTATTTTGTAATATTGAATAAGTATTTGAATGAGAGCATATTAGGTGTTGTATGCAGCAGGTATGTTTATCCTCATCGAATAACTCGAAGTCACTGTCAACAGAGATATTCCTGGATATAAAAGATCGTTCATCCGTCAAGATTCTGATCGTCATGCTGGGGACGGTGAAGTGACGGTGTGCTCGGTGGAGGAACTGGCTCTTGGACATTACAAGCAACTGGGGTACTCTGAAGGTAAGGTGTAATTTAGTCACGGTTGTGTGTGTGTGTGTGTGTGTGTGTGTTGACACTTGTAGTTATGGTAGAGAGACTGTGTACTCACTTAATTGTAGTTTCAGGGGTCAAGTCATAGCTCCTGGCCCTGCCTCTTCACTGGTCTCTACTAGGCCACTCTTCCTGCTCCATGAGCTTTATCATACCTCTTCTTAAAGCTATGTATAGATCCTGCCTCCACTACATCACTTCCCAGACTATTCCACTTCCTGACAACTCTGTGGCTGAAGAAATACTTCATAACATTCCTGTGATTCATTTGAGTCTTCAGCTTCCAACTGTGACCCCTTGTTGCTATGTCCCATCTCTGGAACATCCTGTCTCTTTCAACCTTGTTGATTCCTCTCAGTATTTTATGTCATTATCATATCCCCCTTATCTCTCCTGTCCTCCAGTGTCGTCAGGTCGATTTCCTTTAACCTCTCCTCGTAGGACGTGCCCCTTAGCTCTGGGACTAGGCTTGTTGCAAACCTTTGCACACTCTAATTTCCTTATGTGCTTGGCTATGTGTGGGTTCCAAATTGGTGCTGCATATTCCAGTATAGGCCTAATGTACACAGTGTACAGTATCCTGAATGTTTCCTTATTAAGATGTTGGAATGCTGTTCTTGGGTTTGCTAGACACCCATATGCTGCAGCAGTTATTTGGTTGATGTGCACCTCAGATGTGCCCGGTGTTATGCTCACTCCAAGATCCTTTTCCTTGAGTGAGGTTTGTAGTCTTGGGCCCCCTAGACTGTACTCTGTCTGCAGTCTTCTTTGCCCTTCCCCAATCTTCATGACTGCACTTGGTGGGGTTGAACTCCAGAAGCCAGTTTCTGGACCAGACCTGCAGCCTGTCCAGATCCCTTTGTAGTTCTGCCTGGTCCTCGTCCAGTTGAATTCTTCTCATCAACTTCACATCTGCAAACAGGGACACCACTGAATCTATTCCTTCCATCATGTCGTTTACAAGTACCAGGAACAGTACCGGTCCTAGGAACCCCTGTGGAACCCTGCTCCTCACAGGCACCCACTTTGACACCTCGCCATATACTATGACTCGCTGTTGTCTTCCTGACAGGTATTCTCTGATCCATTGCAGTGCCTTCCCTGTTATCCCTGCCTAGTCCTCCAGCTTTTGCACTAATCTCTTGTGTGGGACTGTGTCAAATGCCTTCTTACAGTCCAAGAAAATACAATCTACCCACCCCTATCTCTCATGACTTACTGCTGTCTCCTTGTCATAGAATTCCAGTAGGTTTGTGACACAGGATTTCCCCCTCCCTGATACTGTGCTGCCTGTGTGTATGCATTGTTGACACTTGTAGTTATGGTAGAGAGACAGTATGTGTGTCAGACAAACCTACACATTGTGTAACTAGACGGAGCTTTATCAGGTCAGTTAATTTGAGGTTTTGTTGGTCGATGACTTGTGAAATATTTAGGTCTGAATTTATAAATGGTTGCAGTGTCTTTATATAGTAAATAGATTCCTTTGGAACATTACTTTCTGACTCGCAAAATCATAACACGATTGCAAAGCATGGAACGGGTGGGGTTTGAACCCATGGCTTACGCACTGGCCTGGAGTTTTACAACTCTCACCATTGGTTCAAGCCCCCACTCGTTCTGTGGTTCACTAATTTTTCATTGTACCAAAGTTGGTCTGTGACTTGACATGTCACAATGCCATGAACTTTTTGCCCCAGAATTGTTGACACCCTGTGAGGGGTCCCAGCCCCAGTGATTTAAATAAATATATCTATATACCAAGATGATACATGTACAGTAGGGCCCCACTTTATTGCATTCTGCTAATATGAACATTTCAAATTATGACCAAAACTCGCTATATGGCTCCCCCACCTGACTTTCTAATACGGTCACCGCGCCCCCACCCTGTTTGTATACATTCTCAGCGAGCTCCATGAGCACCGCATCCCTCCCTTATGTTGAAACTTTCCAAAATTTCAGGTGTTTTTAGTTATTTCATGTTTTATATATTTTTTTTTTTTTTTTTTTTTTCAACAAGTCGGTCGTCTCCCACCGAGGCAGGGTGACATATACTCTGATAATTATACTAATGTGTACCTGTACCTAAGTAAACTTACTGTGTTGGCATACAGGTACACATTAAAATCACTAAGAGTGTCCCTCTAGTCTTGACGCTATATTAATAATAATATTATTATTTTTTTTTATTATCACACTGGCCGAGTCCCACCAAGGCAGGTTGGCCCGAAAAAGAAAAACTTTCACCATCATTCACTCCATCACTGTCTTGCCAGAAGGGTGCTTTACACTACAGTTTTTAAACTTCAACATTAACACCCCTCCTTCAGAGTGCAGGCACTGTACTTCCCATGTCCAGGACTCAAGTCCGCCTGCCAGTTTCCCTGAACCCCTTAATAAATGTTACTTTGCTCACACTCCAACAGCACGTCAAGTATTAAAAACCATTCGTCTCCATTCACTCCTATCAAACACGCTCATGCACGCCTGCTGGAAGTCCAAGCCCCTCGCACACAAAACCTCCTTTACCCCCTCCCTCCAACCTTTCCTAGGCCAACCCCTACCCTGCCTTCCTTCCACTAGAGACTGATACACTCTTGAAGTCATTCTGTTTCGCTCCATTCTCTCTACATGTCCGAACCACCTCAACAACCCTTCCTCAGCCCTCTGGACAACAGTTTTGGTAATCCCGCACCTCCTCCTAACTTCCAAACTATGAATTCTCTGCATTATATTCACACCACACATTGCCCTCAGACATGACATCTCCACTGCCTCCAGCCTTCTCCTCGCTGCAACATTCATCACCCATGCTTCACACCCATATAAGAGTGTTGGTAAAACTGTACTCTCATACATTCCCCTCTTTGCCTCCAAGGACAAAGTTCTTTGTCTCCACAGACTCCTAAGTGCACCACTCACCCTTTTCCCCTCATCAATTCTATGATTCACCTCATCTTTCATAGACCCATCCGCTGACACGTCCACTCCCAAATATCTGAATACATTCACCTCCTCCATACTCTCTCCCTCCAATCTGATATCCAGTCTTTCATCACCTAATATTTTTGTTATCCTCATAACCTTACTCTTTCCTGTATTCACTTTTAATTTTCTTCTTTTGCACACCCTACCAAATTCATCCACCAATCTCTGCAACTTCTCTTCAGAATCTCCCAAGAGCACAGTGTCATCAGCAAAGAGCAACTGTGACAACTCCCACTTTGTGTGATTCTTTATCTTTTAACTCCACGCCTCTTGTCAAGACCCTCGCATTTACTTCTCTTACAACCCCATCTATAAATATATTAAACAACCACGGTAACATCACACATCCTTGTCTAAGGCCTACTTTTACTGGGAAATAATTTCCCTCTTTCCTATGTACTCTAACTTGAGCCTCACTATCCTCGTAAAAACTCTTCACTGCTTTCAGTAACCTACCTCCTACACCATACACCTGCAACATCTGCCACATTGCCCCCCTATCCATCCTGTCATATGCCTTTTCCAAATCCATAAATGCCACAAAGACCTCTTTAGCCTTATCTAAATACTGTTCACTTATATGTTTCACTGTAAACACCTGGTCCACACACCCCCTAGCTTTCCTAAAGCCTCCTTGTTCATCTGCTATCCTATTCTCCGTCTTACTTTTAATTCTTTCAATAATAACTCTACCATACACTTTACCAGGTATACTCAACAGACTTATCCCCCTATAATTTTTGCACTCTCTTTTGTCCCCTTTGCCTTTATACAAAGGAACTATGCATGCTCTCTGCCAATCCCTAGGTACCTTACCCTCTTCCATACATTTATTAAATAATTGCACCAACCACTCCAAAACTATATCCCCACCTGCTTTTAACATTTCTATCTTTATCCCATCAATCCCGGCTGCCTTACCCCCTTTCATTTTACCTACTGCCTCACGAACTTCCCCCACGCTCACAACTGGCTCTTCCTCACTCCTACAAGATGTTATTCCTCCTTGCCCTATACACGAAATCACAGCTTCTCTATCTTCATCAACATTTAACAATTCCTCAAAATATTCCCTCCATCTTCCCAATACCTCTAACTCTCCATTTAATAACTCTCCTCTCCTATTTTTAACTGACAAATCCATTTGTTCTCTAGGCTTCCTTAACTTGTTAATCTCACTGCAAAACTTTTTCTTATTTTCAACAAAATTTGTTGATAACATCTCACCCACTCTCTCATTTGCTCTCTTTTTACATTGCTTCACCACTCTCTTAACCTCTCTTTTTTCTCCTTATACTCTTCCCTCCTTGCATCACTTCTACTTCGTAAAAACTTCTCATATGGTAACTTTTTCTCCCTTACTACTCTCTTCACATCATCATTCCACCAATCGCTCCTCTTCCCTCCCGCACCCACTTTCCTGTAACCACAAACTTCTGCTGAACACTCCAACACTACATTTTTAAACCTACCCCATACCTCTTCGACCCCATTGCCTATGCTCTCATTAGCCCATCTATCCTCCAATAGCTGTTTATATCTTTCCCTAACTGCCTCCTCTTTTAGTTTATAAACCTTCACCTCTCTCTTCCCTGATGCTTCTATTCTCCTTGTATCCCATCTACCTTTTACTCTCAGTGTAGCTACAACTAGAAAGTGATCTGATATATCTGTGGCCCCTCTATAAACATGTACATCCTGAAGTCTACTCAACAGTCTTTTATCTACCAATACATAATCCAACAAACTACTGTCATTTCGCCCTACATCATATCTTGTATACTTATTTATCCTCTTTTTCTTAAAATATGTATTACCTATAACTAAACCCCTTTCTATACAAAGTTCAATCAAAGGGCTCCCATTATCATTTACACCTGGCACCCCAAACTTACCTACCACACCCTCTCTAAAAGTTTCTCCTACTTTAGCATTCAGGTCCCCTACCACAATTACTCTCTCACTTGGTTCAAAGGCTCCTATACATTCACTTAACATCTCCCAAAATCTCTCTCTCTCCTCTGCATTCCTCTCTTCTCCAGGTGCATACACGCTTATTATGACCCACTTCTCGCATCCAACCTTTACTTTAATCCACATAATTCTTGCATTTACACATTCATATTCTCTTTTCTCCTTCCATAACTGATCATTCAACATTACTGCTACCCCTTCCTTTGCTCTAACTCTCTCAGATACTCCAGATTTAATCCCATTTATTTCCCCCCACCGAAACTCCCCTACCCCCTTCAGCTTTGTTTCGCTTAGGGCCAGGACATCCAACTTCTTTTCATTCATAACATCAGCAATCATCTGTTTCTTGTCATCTGCACTACATCCACGCACATTCAAGCATCCCAGTTTTATAAAGTTTTTCTTCTCTTTTTTAGTAAATGTCTACAGGAGAAGGGGTTACTAGCCCATTGCTCCCGGCATTTTAGTCACCTCATACGACACGCATGGCTTACAGAGGAAAGATTCTTTTCCACTTCCCCATGGACAATAGAAGAAATAAAGAAGAACAAGAGCTATGTAGAAAAAGGAGAAAAACCTAGATGTATGTATATATATATATGCATGTTCACGTCTGTGAAGTGTGACCAAAGTGTAATAATAATCGCTCTTGGGCACATCAAATGCCTTATTTTACGTTCATATAAACATTTTCATTAATCCATCTATGATACTTTCTTCAAAATTATACAGTAAAGACGTTACATAGCACATAAACATGATACATACACCCAAAGTACAAAAAATTTCACATAAATATGACATGTGGTACTGGGAGGAGGGAAAGAATTCCATTTTCTCTGGTCCAGCACCAGAGAAAATGTGTATCAGTGTGCTTGTAACACATTTGGCTTTGTTTACAAATTGTCAACATGATTTCTCATCACTTCTCTGTCGTTTATGAGGCATACAAGGATAGTTGTCACACATGATTAAACTTGGTGAACAAGGTTTGTCGATGGTAATAATAATGTTGCTCTAAGGCGCTTTAAATATCATATACAGTGGACCCCCGGTTAACGATATTTTTTCATTCCAGAAGTATGTTCAGGTGCCAGTACTGACCGAATTTGTTCCCATAAGGAATATTGTGAAGTAGATTAGTCCATTTCAGACCCCCAAACATACACGTACAAACGCACTTACATAAATACACTTACATAATTGGTCACATTGGGAGATGATCGTTAAGCGGGGGTCCACTGTATTACATTTAGGTATGGTAGTCAGGCAGCTACACCTACTGGGCTACTTACACCTGACTTCCTACAAATAAATTCTACTCACCTCTCACCCTACATTAAGACTATACATATTGTAAGGTAAGTAACAAGTGTACTGTATATGTATTTTATTGCTCTGGGCTGCTTTAAATATCGTATATCCTTACCTACACCTACTGGCTACCTACACCTACTGGCTACCTACACCTACTGGCTACCTACACCTACTGGCTACCTACACCTACTGGCTACCTACACCTACTGGCTACCTACACCTACTGGCTACCTACACTTTCCACTTCCTACAAATAAATACCATTCACCTCTCGCCCTACATTAAGATTACAGATATTTTAAGGTAAGTAATGCATGTACTTTGTATGTATTTTACTTTTAATTGTATTTTAATGCCTAGTTCAACTCTTAACATATGTTAATGTAAACTTATCTGGCATTTGTATGCATTTATAAGTGAAAAAATGGTGTTCTGCTTTCCAGCGTTAGCCTGGAACCTAACCTGCAGTGTAAGTGGGGCCTTACTGTACAATAATTATGGTGTTTACCAAGTGGATAAGTGGTGTTTACACTGATGTTATAGATGGATTACCCACTAGTGGGGTGTTCCTTGAAGCTGAGTGGTTCAAGGAACACTCTATTGAATATTTTTTAACATATTCATTTAAAACTGTATATTTTCCACAATCATTACAATAACTAAAATTGTAAATAGTTTTATGTTGCTTCTGTTTTAATGTCTACCTACCTGGAGGGTATTCTGAGGATCAGTGCCCCAGGCCATGACCAGGCCTCCTGGTGGATCAGGGCCTGATCAACTAGGCTGTTACTGCTGGCCGCACATAGTCCAACATACGAACTACAGCCCAGATCCCTCTTGAAGGCAACCAGGGGTCTATTAGTAATTACCCTTATGGCTGGTGGGAGGCTGTTGAACAGTCTTGGGACATGGACACTTATTGTGTTTTCTCTTAGTGTATTAATGGTGCCCCTACTTTTCATTGGGGGTATATTGAATCACCTGCCAAGTCTTTTGCTTTCATAGGGAGTGATTTCTGTGTGCAGATTAAGGACCATTCCCTCTAGGATTTTCCAGGTGTAGATTATGATGTATCTCTCTTGCCTGCACTCCAGTGAGTACAAGTTAAGTGCTTCCAAGCGTTCCCAGTAATTAAGGTGTTTGACGAAGCTTATATTTGCAGACTGTCAAGTTGAGAGAGTGTGAGTGTACTAACATGGACTCTTGGGGGAATACTAGTAACCAGTACATTTTATTTCTCCAGCTTTAATTTTTTCTATTTTTGGTGTTTTAGCTTTTGTAATAAAATGTAACATTCTTTATTTTAAAAAATGTGGGTCTGAGCAACAAAAATAAAACAGGTGAAAAGCGCTAAATAAAACTTGTAACTGTGGTACAAGTTAGAGTACATCATCAGTAAGTACAGTAAGTACAACATCAGTAAGTTAGTGGTGTCACTTCTCTCCTTCAGTAATGTGCCCTGCTGGCCTGGCCTTATTTTCACTTCTGTCATGTATCGTCAGCTTTTATACTCGGCTTAAACAGTCAACTTATACGCCGGTTAATATGGTAATTACTGTATAGCATTAAACTTGGCATTCATGTAATCTAATTTTAACTATTAACATTAAGTAGTTTTAAGTTTAACTATTAATATTAAGTACAAGTACCGTCTGACTTACAACCTTCTCGACATATGACCACTCGTACTTATGACCGTACTGCTTACAGCTTAGTTTAAGTTATGTTGTACTTTTCTGTTCTTGCATATGAATGTTTTCATATGTTTCTCCTAAACCTTACAGTATAAAATACATTACTAAAAGCATAAGGTTTGACTTGTGTCCATTTTGACTTACGACCGGTTGGTCGGAACGAGCCTCGGTTGTAAGTCAGGTGGTACATGTAGTTTTAAGTTTTAATCTGCCCGAAATACTCTTCATAACCTGGGGCTTTTCAGAATCTATGAAGTAAACGATCACCTAATTTTGTAGTATCTATGTGCATTTCAAAAAATTGTTCTTCAAAATGTTAAATTGCAATAGCATGACACTGTCCTCAGGTCTACACCGGGAAGGAGCCACCGTCAACACACTCTTTGGCATATACTTCTGGGATGCCCTCTACGCTCCAGTGTGTGATGTGTTCAGATCCCCACACCAAGCAGCACCACTAGATCTCGATGATGCAAATTTTTATGAGGCCAGAAGGCAGCAAATTGATCACAGGTTTGCTTTGATAATTTTGTATTTTTGGTTCCTTATGTATGGTACTATAGAAATATATTTTTCATTTGTTGTTGTTTAATGTACAAAAATGCTTATTCAGTAAATGCTGATTCTGTAGAGTTGTCTCACCTGGAGTATATCACTTATTGTTTGCTTAATATTGTACCTGTATACCTATCCTAGCTTTGATAAGGTCTTTGTTTTTTGAGCCCAATTTTGGCTTAATCACCTCTGCTTACCCATTGTTTTATTAACCCTTTGAGGGTCCAGACCCTTCATCTGAAACTTGTCCACAGGGTCCAAGAATTTAAAAAAAAAAAAAAATTCTTATTTCTTATGAAATGGTAGAGAATCTTTTTCTGAATGTAATAAAACAAAAAGTACGAAATTTGCTGGAAAATTGACAAAATTACCCTACCGCAAATTTTGCTGTATCAGTGATATTTAAGCATCAGTAATTTTGCCCACTTTGACTCTTATTTTAGGCCAATTACATTGTTACAGTTGATCAAATTTTTAACTATTTCATTAGTATGCCTTCCATTTTATCGAATGAGCACAAGAAACTGCCCAATCAACTATTTCAACTACCCAACAAAGTGACCAGAAATTGGTAATTTGGCCAGTTTTTCTGAGCGAGCTGAGCTCATCACATACAGCATTTTAGACAAGGGTAAAGAGGTTTTCATTACATTCATGGATTTAGAAAAAGCATATGATAGGAGAACAATGTGGCGATAGGTTACTGAAAGCAGTTAAGAGTTTTACGAGGATACCGAGGCTCAGGCTAGAGTGTGTAGGAGAGAGGAAGAATTGTTATTTTTTTTTTTTAACACATCGGCTGATTCCCACCAAGGCAGGGTGGCCCAAAAAAGAAAAACTTTCATCATCATTCACTCCATCACTGTCTTGCCACAGGGGTGCTTTACACTACAGTTATACAACTGCAACATTAACACTCCTCCTTCAGAGTGTAGACACCGTACTTCCCATCTCCAGGACTCAAGTCCGGCCTGCCGGTTTCCATGAATCCCTTCATAAATGTTACTGTGCTCACACTCCAGCAGCATGTCAGGTATTAAAAACCATTTGTCTCCATTCACTCCTATCAAATACGCTCAGGCATGCTTGCTGGAAGTCCAAGCCCCTCCCACACAAAATCTCCTTTACCCCCATTCCTCCAACCCTTCCTAGGCTGACCCCTACCCCGCCTTCCCTCCACTACAGATTTATATTTCCCAGTAAAAGTAGACCTTAGACAGGTATGCGTGATATCACCAGGTGTTGGGAAGAGGTGTGGGATTAAGATTTGAAGAATCTAACACAAGGTGGGAGAGTTGTCACAGTTGCTTTTTGCTGATGACTCTGTGCTTTTGGGAGATTCTGAAGAGAAGTTGCAAAGGTTGGTGGACAAGGTTGGAAGGGTATATAAAAGAAGGAAATTAAAAGTGAACATAGGAAAGAGCAAGATGATGAGGATAAAAAATTTAGATAATGAAAGATTGGATATCAGATTGGAGGGAGGAAGTGATTGTATTCAGATACTGTATTTGGGACTGGACTTGTCAGCAGACGAGTCTATGAAAGATGAGGTGAATTGTAGAATTCATGAGGGGAAAAAGTGAGTGGAGCACTGAGGAGTCTGTGGAGACGAAGAACATTATGGAAGCTAGGAGGGAAATGTATGAGAGTATAGTGGTACCATTACTCTTACATGGGTGTGAAGCATGGGTGGTGAATGTTGCAACTAGGAGAAAGCAGGAGGCAGCGGAGTTGTCATGTCTGAGGGCAATGTGTGGTGTGAATCCATAACTTGGAGATTAGGAGGAGGTGCAAGATTTCTAAAAGTATTATCCAGAGGGCAGAGGAAGGATTGTTAAAGTGGTTTGGACATTTAGAGAGGATGTAACATAATAGAATGACTTGGAGGGCATATAAATCTGTAGTGGAAGGAAGGCAGGGTAGCGCTGTCTTAGGAAAGGTTGCAGGGAGGGGGTAAAGGAGGTGTTGTGCATAAGTGGTTTGAGCTTTCAGCAGGTGAGCGTGAGCATGTTAGATAGGAGCGAGTAGAGACAGATGGTTTTTATGACTTGACATGCTGTTGGAGTGTGAGCAAAGTAACATTTATGAAGGGATTCAAGGAACCAGTTAGCCGGACTTGAGTCCTGGAGGTGGGAAGTACAGTGCCTGCACTCTGGAGGAGGAGTGTTGATATGTTGCAGTTTATTTTAACTGTAATGTAGGCATGCCTTTGGCAAGACAGTGATGGAGTGAATGATGATGGATGTGTTGCTTCTTTTTCAATTCACCTTGTCTTGGTGGGAAACATCTGATGTGTTAATAAAAAAAAAAAGTATATATACTTCACATACAGTTGTGCTCTCCCATTCTTCCTGTGTATATATAACAACATCGAATATAACTAAAGTATGTTACTAGTTAATGGTCTAAGGCAGACTGGAACATCTTCATAAGTTTCATTCTCCTATGTATGGTTTATTTATGTATTATTCCGTCACAGTATTGTATCTTTGTTTTTTAGAGTTAAGGATTTGACATGCTGTTGGAGTGTTAATAGGGCAACATTTATGACAAAATTTTGAGGTAGAAAGTAGAGTGCCTGCTCTCTGAAGGAGGGGCAAGGATGTTACAGTTTAGAGGGGCATTCAAATTGTGATGTTTGTACACTTCTGGCAAGATATTTGTTGAATGAATCACTTTGTTTTGATCACCCTCCATTGGTGGGAGATGAAAAATGTTTTAAAAATAATTTTGTTTTTTTCAACAAGACGGCCGTCTTCCACCGAGGCAGGGTGACCCCAAAAAGAAAATACTTTCATCATTCAACACTTTCACCACACTCACACATTATCACTGTTTTTGCAGAGGTGCTCAGAATACAACAGTTTAGAAGCATATACGTATAAAGATACACAAAATATCCCTCCAAACTGCCAATATCCCAAACCCCTCCTTTAAAGTGCAGGCATTGTACTTCCCATTTCCAAGACTCAAGTCCGACTATATGAAAATAATAATATATAAAAATAAATAAAGACAAATAATTGTTGTAGTATACTCTGAGATAGAATAAAACTATGGTACATATCAAACATTACATATGATAATTTTTTTCCAAGTACCAGCAGCCTCCCACTGAGGCAGGATGACCTAAAAAGAAAAACTAAATTTTTTTTTGTTACATTTAGTAATTTATACAGGAGAAGGGATTACTAGTCCATTGCTCCTGGGGCAGTTTATTTGCCTCTTATGATTAGCTTGGCTTATCAAGGAAGAATTCTCTGATAATTGTTTTAATTTAAACAAGAAAATATGAAGAGAAGTTTTTGTTTCCAGACTTAGTGAACTCTGCAGCTGGTGTGAAGAAGAAGCAGAAGTTGAGCTGGAGAGAATTTGGAATCATCATGCAGGAGAGGTGTCCCTCGTAGCCTGGGATCTTTTCCGAAATGTTGAACATGCTAAGGTGACGACTTCACTAAAATCCAACTTCCAGTTGATTCTAAACTTTGTAATGCAGTTGCTTTCACTTAAAAATTACTAATTTATAGAAAATGTGTTTGTTACTTTCTTTACCAAGCTCGGAACTCTTCATTCATGCTAAGAATTACTTTCATACAAAGTTTGATAAAGATTTTATCAATAGGAAAGTTTGTTTACCTTTGCCTATGTTTACTTGTGCATACTTCAGTATGTGTAAGTTAACCTTTCCTTGGTTAACCTTTCCTTGGTTAACCTTTCCTTGGTTAACCTTTCCTTGGTTAACCTTTCCTTGGTTAACCTTTCCTTGGTTAACCTTTCCTTGGTTAACCTTTCCTTGGTTAACCTTTCCTTGGTTAACCTTTCCTTGGTTAACCTCTGCTTGGTTAACCTCTGCTTGGTTAACCTCTCCTTGGTTAACCTCCCCTTGGTTAACCTCCCCTTGGTTAACCTCCCCTTGGTTAACCTCCCCTTGGTTAACCTCTCCTTGTTTAACTTCTTCTTGCTTGATTTCTCCTTGCTTGAATTCTCCTTGCTCCTTGTTTAACCTCTCCTTATGCACAAGAGAAAGTCAAGTGAAAACAAGTGTATTTTTCAGGGCTTGGTAAATAGTCTGGGTTTGCGTGTTATTGCTGCTATATGTGAACGTCTGGCCAAAGATCACAGGTTTACACGAAGTGGATTTCCCGATCTGATTGTGTGGAATCCTTCCACCAAGGTTAGTTCATCTGACTCTATCTCTAGGGATAACTTTGTTTCTAAATGCTTCCTGCACACTATAATGGTAGTGGGTTTGTGTCAACCATCTTTGATATTGTTTTCATGTCGCCTTTGCACCATTTATAACATTTCTGGTATATTTTTAAGTGTTTATACAGTAATGTACTGTATATTGTAATAAACAGAATAGAGGAAATCAGCTCTAATATACATTATATAGGTATGAATACTGGTCAGAGCCTGTCATATGTCTGAATCATCGGCAAGTGAGTACGTCACTAAGTGAGGAGAAGCTGTATTTGTTTGTTTAATTAATTCACTGACAGTAGCTATTTATTTATTTTGCATATATTTTTGACTTACGTTGGGTTCATCAGAAAATAACCCAGCATAAATCCAGGACCACCTGTAATTTTTGTAATCCATGAAATCTGGTGTGTTTTTTCCTTAAAATTGCTGATATAAATTAATAATACAGGGTAACTAAAGGAAAAAATTTAAAGAAAAATATAGCTAACATAATGTTATTTATCTTTACCTAATAAGAAAGAGATTACTAAGAAAGTCTGGAGGTAAATGTTGACTTGTCAAGAACAAAGCAGCTGAGATGTTAGATGAGGAGGTGGAGGTACTGGATGTGGGGATACCAGAGGTGGAGATGCTGGATGTGGGGATACTGGAGATGGGGATGTGGAGATGCTGAAGGTGGAGATATTGTGTTCACATCATAACCTAATACAGTACAAAACATAACACTCGCAGTATGTTATTTTAGCATAGCAAATAGGCATTAGGTCTGTCAGGAAACAGGAAAAGTCTTAGTCATGTGATGACCCACAGTTGGAGCCTTTGGTCATGTGACCTAGCCCTTCCACTGGCTTTCCCCTCCACCCCTTTTAAAATTTTGGTTGTAATTCTAACTATTTTTGTATATTATTATTTATTTTGACATGAATGATGGAGTGTGTGTGTTACTGATAGTTAAAAAACTTAACATTTAATATACAGCCTCTCCTCACTTAATGATGAAGTTTTGTTCTGAAGACCACGTCAGTAAATGAATTCGTCACTAAGTGAGGAACATACTGTAACGATAGTGAGTTTGTGTGAGCCATCTTTGATATTGTTTTAATGTCACCTTTGCACCATTTATAACATTTTTGGTATATTTTTAAATGTTTATACAGCAGTGTACTGTATATTGTAATAAACAGAATAGAGAAAATCAGCTCTAATATTATTTAGTTATGCATACTGATAAGAGAGCCTGTTGTAAGTCTGAATCGTCGAGAACTGAATACATCGCTAAGTGAGGAGAGGCTGTATTGCATTTTATGTTACATTATTAGAACTACAGCCTCTCCTCACTTAGTGACATACTCATTTACTGATGACTTGGATTTAAGATGGGCTCTCTATTACTAATCCTTGTGGAACTCCACCAGTTACTCTTCCTCATGCTAATAGTTCTTCCTTGACAATCAGTGTTTCCTTTCCCCTAAGGTACTCTGATGCACTGGAGTATGTTTCCTGTTATTCATGCATGCATCTTGAGTTTTTAACCCAACCTTCTTACAGTCAGAAAAAGCAATCCACCCATCCTTTTCTCTCCTGTCTCATGTCTTCCTACCTGGAGGGTGTCCCGGGGTTCATCACTCCATCACTGTTCAGGCCTCATGGTGGATCAGGGTCTGATCAACCAAGCTGTTGCTGCCATCTGTACACAATCCAAGATATGAACCACAGCCATGCTGGTCAGAGACTGACTTTAGGTATCTGTCCAGCTCCATCTTGAAGACAGCCAGAGCTTATTATTAATCCCTCTTATGTATGCTGAGAAGTAGTTGAATGGTCTTGGGCCCCTGACACTTATCTCTTAGTGTCTGTTACTTTGTCAGGTTGCTGAGACAAAATTTGTCATCTATGAACCTTGCCAGTTACTATTTGTGACATCACTTCTCCAAGTGTTTTTCCATTTCCCTTCTGATAATCTCCATTATTTTTCTTGGTATGCATGTCAGTGAACCTAGTCTGTAGTTCAGTGCATCTTGTCTGCTTTCTTAAATATTGGCACTGTTTTTCAGATCTCTACCAACTGTCCTATATCCATTGACTTATAGATCCTAGCTGGTGGATTAGACACAGTGCTTCTGCTCCCTTTCACAGCATCCATGGTGACACCCTATCAGGTTCCATTACCTTTGATGTATCCAGGTCCATCGTAAGTTTCTCTACCTCTTCCTGTATGTATGTCATGTGTTAGTGTACCCTGTACCCTAAGCTTTCAGTTATTGACTGTTTCTACCAAGAACTCTTCAGATCATTTGATAAATATTTTACAGACTTCCTTGTCATTGTTAGCTCTCCTCCTTTCTTCTTGAGTTGAATTACCTAGTCTTTTCCTGTTGTCTGTCTTCTAATCTTCTAATGTGGTTGTGAAGCAGTTTCGGTTCAGATTTGGCATATGCTGCTTTGTCAGTTTTCACTCAGTCACTCTTCACCCTGGCATATTAGTTTCTGGTGAATTTTCTTACTTTGTTTTTGTCTGTCTTTTGATTTCTACAGTTTTTCATTGCTCTTAAGCTTCTCTTTTTTGCCTCTCAGCATCTCTGGTTGAAGCTAGAGCTCTCATTATCTTTGTTGCTATGACGTTTTCTTCTGGGTATAAAGTTCTCCTCTTCTTCTGAGTGCTTTCATTTACCAACTCTGTCATCTCATCCGCTGATTTTCAGTTTTCTATCTTACTGCATTTCATTCAGGAATTCACTTATCCCCTTGAAATGAGATTCCCTCTAAAGTCTGGTTTCTGGTGTCTTCCACCTGCTGTTTTTTCCTTCACCTTCAGTTTCACTAGGTACTCAAAGTTTTCTATGTGGTATGTGTTTTTGTTTTATTTTGTTGTTGTAATTACCTGTTTAAGTGTCTGGATACCAGTTTCCTGCCTCTCAAGTAGCCTATCCTGTCTACCCTATCAGTTCCTCTTGAGTACCCTGTACATTGTTATAATGTCTTCCCTGGTAGACCTCCTGTCCTCCAGTGCTGTCAGATTCAGTTCTTCAGCCTCTCCTTGTAGCTTACACCTCATAGCTCTGGAACTAGTCTCATTTACCATCTGCACCTCCAATTTCTTAATGCATTTTTTCAAGTGTGTTTTCCATGGCATATGTACTGGGAGCATAAAATATACTATAAAATCTTGCTGATTGTGTAGTGAAGGAATTCTCCGCTCATAAGAATATTTATGGAGTTGTTTGCTTTATGCTTCTTTTGGTTTCCAGATGTCCCGTATTGTTGAAGTCAAGGGCCCCAATGATCGCTTGTCCACCAAACAGATTCTCTGGCTTGATTATCTTCTTGCAAGTGAAGCAGTTGCAGAAGTGTGCCATGTAGAAGGTTGGTGCCTTTTTTTTTTTTGCCTTATTCTAAAACCTGTTTAAAATATATATCCAAGATTGTAAATTGGTGTTTGGGGATTGAAGTGACCAGAGTGTGCTGACATCACAGCTCAGATGACCCTCTGAACTGCAACACCAACACCTCTCCTTCAGAATGCAGGCACTATACTTTCCACCTCTAGGATTCAAGTCCAGCCAACTAGTTTTTCCTGAATCCTCCCATAACTCTTGCTTTGCTCAAACTAAAACAGCACCGTGGAGAGAATATTTAAAGAAATATGTAAATATGCATGATGAAATGGAGGTAAATATGCATGATGAAATGGAGGCGGGATTGGCATGTTTGTAGCAAGGAAGATTCAGATCTGCAAGTAGAACAACAAGTCTACCAATACAGCATCTAGTCTACCAATAGGACAAGAAGTCTACCAATAGGACAAGAAGCCGACCAATAGGACAAGAAGCCGACCAATAGGACAAGAAGCCGACCAATAGGACAAGAAGCCGACCAATAGGACAAGAAGTCGACCAATAGGACAAGAAGTCGACCAATAGGACAAGAAGTCGACCAATAGGACAAGAAGTCGACCAATAGGACAAGAAGTCGACCAATAGGACAAGAAGTCGACCAGTAGGACAAGAAGTCGACCAGTAGGACAAGAAGTCGACCAGTAGGACAAGAAGTCGACCAGTAGGACAAGAAGTCGACCAGTAGGACAAGAAGTCGACCAGGACAAGAAGTCGACCAATAGGACAAGAAGTCGACCAATAGGACAAGAAGTCGACCAATAGGACAAGAAGTCGACCAATATAACAGCAATTCTACCAATAGAACAATAAATCTACCAGAAGAACAAATCTACCAATAGAACAACAAATCTGCTACTTTGGTAAAAGTATGTTTTAGACTAATTCTAGTGTACTGGTTTCAAATCTGAGACCAGAATTATCCATTGCATAAGAATCTTTCTTTACACAACATACTGAAAATCAGTTTTCAGCTATTTTGAGTATTAATAACAAGCTGGTGAAAATTTTATAGCATGTACACAAGTCACTTGTTAATATGCTTAATTGTTTTTAATGAACAGTTTTTGCATTTATTTTGATGTAGTTAAAAATCTTGATGTTCTGGGTCAATTCTGACTTCAGATTCCAACTCGGTATTCTCATATTAACCCTTTCAGTGTCAAAGAATTTTCGAAAAATAAAAAAAATTATTTATTATGAAATGATAAGAGAATCTTTTTCCAAAGGTAATGAAACCAAAACTGTGAAATTTGATGTTAAATTTACTGAATTACGCTCTCACAAAGTTAGTGGTCTCTGCGATATTTATGCATTGGCAATTTCGTCCATTTTGAGCCCTATTTTGGGCCAGTTCCATTGTTCCAGTCAATCAGACTCATAGCTATTTCATTAGTACTCCTTTTATTGTATGGAATGAGTACAAGAAACTGCCCATTTACCTATTTCAGCTACCTAATAAAGTGATCAGAAATTGATAATTTGGACAATTTCACATAAAATTTAAGAAAGGCCATTTTCAAAATAGGGTCCAGAATAAACAGTGCAGACATTCCTAGCACTAAAACAACATTTTCTCTGTTCATTAGTCACATCTCCAGGCCCCTCTTATATTACACTTGCTTTCTATTTTGAATTTTTATTCACACAAAAAATAGAAGATTTACTGTTATGCAGACTGCTGCATTTCTAATAATTGTGTAAATAATATCAGCGCATTCATGAACTCATATTAGATCCACCAGTTAATGTGTATTGGATGGATGACACTATTTGTTTACTCTCGAACATCAGCAAAAATTGAATATTTCCGCTAATTTGAACTCGATTTCAGACTACTTTCAGTCCAGAAACTAATCAGAAATCATCTCTATTTCTGTAATGTATCTTTCATTCTATCAAATGAGACCAAGAAAATGAGAATACAACCATAGAAACCATACAAAAACACACTGCAAAGTTGCAGTTTTAAACCAAAAACTCGGTTAGTTTTTTTCTCATGCTCCGCGTGCTGCAGGATTTTTTTTTTTTTTTTTTTTTAATGGTGCACACTTACCACATAGACCCATTCTCTCATATCCAGGCCCAGATTTACTGCTCACAGCTTATCTGAGTGAGGTGAGCTCATGGCGTCATATTACAGGACCAACACTGGCTTCAAAACCGTGATATAATGGAACTGACACCAAAAGGGTTAATAAAGCACACGTTTACCTCAGTAACAAGCAGAGTTTTTGTTGTTGTCTAGTGTTATTAGCCACTTCTCTTTCATTGGTCATTCCCAGTCAAAAACCTGTATGTAAAATCTAATACATTTATTCATTGTGAGATACACATTGTCACCATTTTCTTGTTCACTTCTGTGGCCATGATGATCTAATGACCTAAAAAAAATTAGGATGAATGTTAGTAAAGCCAAGTGTTCATCATCACCCATCCTTATTACATTGCTCTGGCTTACACCTACACGCCATTATTCCTACCTCCTCTTTCTGTTCATTATTACTCCCTACCCAAGAGTCAGTGGTTCATGTTTATCTTTTCCCTATGCCATTTCTCGCATCTCACTCTTTTGCCCTTTGATTTTTGTTAACTCTTCTTGAATCATTTCAAGTCATACACTGGTGATACTGTCGTGTACACAATTGGAGCAGGATATCTACCTGTCCTTTTTGATCACATGATCCAATCCTAATTGTCACAATTAATCAGTATCTTGCTGCTCCTGTTTGCCTCATCTTTTGGCGAGTTGTCTGGTTTTCAGGATGCATTACAAGCAGTAGTACAAATCTTTTCATTCCTTTCATTCCCTCACTCACATTGTGTTGTCTCTGCATCTTTAGCAGATAAGAAAAAAAAAAAATTTTGTTGGGTTCCTGTACTACTCAGGAGTTTGGGGAAATGATCTTGTAGCCTCTTTGGCTTATTCTGTAGTTCAATACCTTTCACTAGATTTCTAGTACTAACTCAGCTCTTGCGAGATCACTAGCAAGGCCATAGTCTCATTAATGAGCAACAAACTGTTTTTCTTCAAACCTCAATTGTCCTTCAAGCCATCATCCTTCCATCTTTGCTGGCTCTGAGAACTGCTCACATACCTGTATGTTGATCACCCTAGACTCATACATGGTCATCTCTTGCAGGTGTGCCTAATTCTACTCTACAGGTATTATCAGATCAGTTCAGCATCTCTTGACAGAATGTCCCATTAAGAATGCATGCAAACATCACTTTGTGAATTTTTCAATAGGAGAGGAACCTTATGATGACGTGTCAGTTCATCCTTGACTATTGTCAAGTCAAGAGTCGTGTGTAAATGCAGGTTTTTGGTGGTGTGACCTTTTTCGAAGGGTTTATAATTTTTTCTTAACATGTCAGCTGTCTCCTACCAAGGCAGGGTGACCAGAAAAAAAAAAATTTTCTTGTACATGAATGGTATACAGTACCATCAAGATAAAAATTAGACACATGTAACATCTGGGTATCTTTATTGTAGATGTTTTGCCATCCAGTGGCTTTATCAAAAATTCTAGGACATAATTGGAAGACAAAAGAACTATATACAAAAGATGAGGTAATCAGTCCTTCAGCCTTGGAGTTGATGTGGAGGACTACAGGAATGGTTGGAGGGAACAGGTAAAAGAGGCTGCAAGTGGTAGGGGCTCGAGCATTCAGCAGGTGTATATAGGAATGTTAGATCAGAGTGAGTGAAAACGAACTAGTTTTTAGGGTTTGATGTGCTGTTGTAGTGTGAGCAAAGTAACATTTATGAAGGAGTTCAAAGAAACCAGTTAGACGGGCATGAGTGATGAAGGTGGGAAGTACAGTGTCTGAATGCCAGTGGATGGGTGGGGATGTTGCTTTCTATGCACTGCTAACAAGACAGCTATTGAATGAATAATGGTGAATGTGTTTTTTTTTTTTTTTTGTGAGGGGAAGCTCATCCTGCTTGTGAGAGACACTCGATGTAATAAATAAATTTACAGCTTTGTTTGACAAGTCAGTGCTTTCTTATATATATTATTATTATTATAATCAAAATGAAGTGCTAATCTTACAAGGGTCATACAGCACAGCAGGGCAGGGGTATTCGGTAGCAAGAGGGAGAGAGAGATTATTAGGTTATGCAGTGCAGAGGGGCAGGGGTAGAGGGTAGCATGAGGAAGAAGTAAAGAGGGCTGTGAGGAGTGCTAGAGGCATCATCATCAAGTTTGTGCAGTAAATCAGTTGTTGTCAAAAAGTCAGCAAGAGAGTCTGGGTTAAAGGAGGGTCCATCAGCAAGAAGGGAAAGTAAAGTAAGGGCAATAAAGCAGTGACGATGTCGGAGGTAAATTCTTCGTGCTCGTTAATAGTGGGCAGTCCAACATAATATGGCTAACAGAAACTGGAACCTGACAAGTTCTCACAAGAGTGAAACAGGGTGCCTTTCCATTAGATACCCGTGAGTGAGACGAGTGTGGACAACACGAAGACGGGAGAGAGTAGTTTCACAACTTCAACATTGACGATAAGAAGACTTGGTTTAATAGAATGCAATTTATTAAGTAGTAGATCAGACCATTGTTGTTGCCAACGGTTGTGAAGGTGGGTAGAAATCACAGCAAAATAGTCTGTGAATGGAACACCTCTATATGAAATTGAGAGGTCATGTACTGCTGACCGCACAGCAGTGTCTGCCTGTTCATTGCCCTGTACAACAACATGACCGGGTCCCAGCAGAAAACAATATCGTTGTGCTTGTTAGAGATACTGTATAACCAAAGTTGGATACAAAGAACCAGTGGATGAGGTGAATCAAATTTTCGTATAGCCTGCAAAGCACTAAGGGAATCTGAAACTACCACAAATGGTGACACAGGCATAGATGCGATATGGATTAAGTGCTACGAGAATGACATAAAATTCAGCTGTAAAAATGCTGGGCGAGACTAATAAATACCCTCGTACGATGCTGTCTGGAAACACTGTTGCAAATCTGACACCATCAGAAGACTTGGAACCATTGGTGTACACTGCAATGGCATGGGAATTAGACTGAAAGCGATTAAAAAAAAAAGAGCAAGAAGCATCTGTAGGTATTTGGGTATTGGGCATGGCAGTGGGGAAGAACAGACACGAACCATCGGAACTTCCCAAGGGGGAAGGGAAAAGCTAGGTGCTACGTGAACATAGAAAGGCGGCAGCTGAAGAGAAGACAAGAGGGAATGTAGACGAAGAGAAAAGAGACATTGAGTAAACAGGGGCAGCGAACAAGTAAGGAACTTCTACTAACAACCATTACTATCCTATACTACTTATATGGAAGGATTGTGGAGGTCATGACAGCAAACAAAATAGGGGAGGCAATGAGCATCACGGCGATCTGTCAAGGATGGAATATTTGCCTCTGCATATAGGCTATCAACAGGTGAAGAGCAAAAAGCACCGAGGCTTAAACGTAATCCCTGGGATCAAGGCTAGAGTGAGTTACAGGAGAGACCACTGAATATATCTGGTCGCCATAGTCTAGTTTTGATAAAATTTGGGCAGAATGCAGTCAAAGGAGAGTTTTACGATCAGCCTTCATGAAAGATGAGAGAGGATTTTAAGGAGGTTCAGCCGGCTATAACAAGTTGACATCAAAGAGGCAATGTGAGGTTTCCAAGATAACAAATGGTCAAACAGAAGGCCAGGAAACCTGATAGTATCATGTTCTGAGATACACAAACCATACAGGTACAATAAAGATTTTATTTCTTTGTAAAGTTTACAATGTGTAATTACAATTTTGGTTTGCTAAATACAAAGGAAGCCACTATCATGCCAGGGTATTTCAGGCAGACTAATCCTAGTACATAATAACTGCTTAAATCTAGACAAGATACATGTGGTTAACTTTTATTAAATGGATTATCAGGGATGATAGAACATCTAGTGAAAGTAATTTAGTGTGTTTTAGTACTAGAAAATTTAAACCCATGAACAGTGGCCCAATTGGAAAAACAGTTGACCGCATGCTGGAGAGAAACTGCAATGAGGCGACAGTCAGCACCTGCATAAGCTATAGCAAAGTCATCAACATATAGTGATGATCAAATATTAGATGGAAGAATGTATACCACATTATTTGTAGCGAGGAGAAAGTGTGGTGCTCAGGACACACCCCTTGGGGAACACCTTCAGCTTGGACAAAGTCCAGGGAAAGCATATCACTAACCCGAACACGGAAATGTCTCCCAGATAATAAGTTCTTAAGGAAAAATGGTAGGTTGCTGTGGAGGCCTAAGGAGTGAGCTTGGGTCAACATGTTATATCTCCAAGTTGTGTCATATGCCTTCTTAAGATCAAAAAATATGGCAATAACCGAGTGGTTATTGGCAAAGGCATTACATACGTATGTATCTAAACGGAGTAAGGGGTCAATAGTAGAACGACCCTTACGAAAGCCATATTAACTAGTGGAGAGACTATTGTGTGTCTCTAAATACCACACCAAATGTCTATTTACCAGACATTCCAACATTTTCTTATATATAGTACTTTTTAAAGCTAAATTTGTCATACTTGAGTTCATTGTGTAAAGTTCTTATTAAGATATTTCCAGCATCTTAAATTAAGTCCAGAAGTACACCTCAAAATTTACAGAAGTCAACACAGACACAGGACACACACAGTAGTTATCATAGGGGAGTGCTAAACACATGGATTATACAGCACCTGAGATGAAGTTATTCAGGCTTAATTCAGGGAATTGGAGCACAGATTCAAATCCCTAAATCAAGAGCCCCTTTCCAGCATCAGGCAACCTTCCTTTAGGGGACATATTATAGTTAACTTTGTGACTTCTGCTACTTATACTTCATGATAGGAAGCCAAACATTTTATTACCATATTTAAGAAAACTCCTAGGTAGTAGGTTGGTAGACAGCAACCGCCCAGGGAGGTACTACCGTCCTGCCAAGTGAGTGTAAAACGAAAGCCTGTAATTGTTTTACATGATGGTAGGATTGCTGGTGTCTTTTTATTGTCTCATACACATGCAAGATTTCAGGTATGTCTTGCTACTTCTACTTACACTTAGGTTACACTTCACATACATGTACAAGCTATATACACACACCCCTCTGGGTTTTCTTCTATTTCCTTTCTAGTTCTTGTTCATTTCTTCTTACCTCCATGGGGAAGTGGAACAGAATTCTTCCTCCGTAAGCCATGCGTGTTGTAAGAGGCGACTAAAATGCCGGGAGCAAGGGGCTAGTAACCCCTTCTCCTGTATATATTACTAAATGTAAAAGGAGAAACTTTGGTTTTTTCTTTTGGGCCACCCCGCCTCGGTGGGATACGGCCGGTGTGTTGAAAGAAAGATTTAAGAAAACTGTATCAACACCTTATATTTTTTTAAATTAATAAATTGTATTTGTCATGATTGTTTTGTGTTCTCAGAGTTGAGACTACTGCTGGTACTATTCTACCAACATTAACTCGCTAGCAAACTGTGTCACCATTCTTCCATCTGAGTCATTTATATAAACTCAGAAGGGGCTCAACATGAACACCTGTTGAATATGTTTTAGCTGATTTACTTCCTAATTTTTCACTTACGCAAACTATAGCTAGTCAGTCAAGAAACGTATCCTTTCATACTTTGCTTGAAGTGTCTCGTATGGTACTTCATCAAAGACATGACTGAAATCCAGGTTAACATTTTACATCCTCTCAACATTTTCTTGAAGATGTTTTAACCTCTGCATTGTTGTAACATCTTAAAAAAAATGTGCACTTTACCCCTATAGCATGGTTAATGAGGTTAAAAGTCTATCAACTACATGAGGGTCATAGAGATTGCATGCCTTGTCAACTCCAGCAAATTCTATATCTTATTTCCTCTCATTGTCTGTGATAAACTTTTAAACCTCTTTTGATTTTACAATATTGAAATTTGACAAATAAAAAAATATCTTAATGTAGGTCAAAGAAAATATTGAACTCTTTGTGATGGACAGTGAGTGTCAGAGCACAGTCCACACTTCTGGAGAAAACTTTATTCTTAAGGAAACTAGTTTTATGAATCTTAAACTAGTTTCCTTAAGTCTTCAAGTTTTATATTGTAATTGTATTAGAATCTGAATAGGATTCTGTGATTTGCTTCTAATTCATTTGCAAATTTCAGCTATTGGAGCAAAGAAAATTAAATTGGCTTCTCCTCGCAAGATATCACCTAAGAAAACATCTAAAAAATCCCCCAAAAATAATGAGGTAAGTGACTTAGAAAATGCAGTGGAAGGAACGCAGAAACAGAAGAAAAAAAAAGATGAAGGCAGTGTTTGTGTGAAAAACGGTGAAGTTTCTGATGAAAAGAATATTACTAATAGCAGTGCATCTGTGAATGAGAACCATAATGTTTCTGAAGAAAAGAATGTTAATGAAGATGATAGGCCATTAAGAAGTAAAAGTAAAAGAAGGAACAGTGATGATTTTGAAGAGCCTAGGAAGAAATTTAAAAAGAACACAGTAATTAAAGGAACTGGTGTCGTAAAAAATAAAAAAAAAATCGAGGGGAAAAAAAAATCAGACTAGATTCATGTAAAGAATAAAAAAATGAAAAGCCACTATAGATAATTGCACTAAATTAAAAGTGATTTCAGCTTCTCACCAGAAGTTAATGTGTATGAAGGATTCCTTCTACATATATTTAATTAATGGTGTCATTTACATGTATTCCTTTCACAAGGTGTAATTAGAGGTGACATTGTTTAATTAAGTATACGTATTTGCATTAAAGTGCCTTGTGTACCATGCACATTTTAAAGATAATTTTATAAAAGTTATTTACGTACGTTAAAGGAAGTGTAATTAGGAGGAGTTTGGAAGGAAACACATTAAGGCAACCAAAATTATCATGAATATTTCCAAGTCATTTTTTATTGTATGAGAGCAGTAACATAAAAAATTTAAGTGACTCGTATCATTTTCCTAGCCACAACATAAGTGTAGTTAAGAAATCCTGTGACTGACTGAAACAGTAGTTTTCTCATATTGGTATATTGATGTATTACCAGCAACACTGACCATTGCATAAATAACATAAAAGTTAGAAACGGAACATTATTATTATAATCAAGGGGGGAAGCGCTAAACCCGGAGGATTATACAGCACCTTGGGGGGGGGGGGAAATGTGGAAGGCATTCAGGCTTAATTCGGGGAACTGGAGCACAGATCCAATTCCCTAAATCAAGAAACCTTCCTTGAGGGGAACGGAACATTAAATGTCCTGATCTCAGATGAGACATCTTTATTAGTCAAGGGTTTGAAGTGGTAAATTTTTCAGTGATGAGTGGAAATATATATTTAGGCCGAGATAAAAACATGAAATTAGTTTGAAGATGTCATTAGTGAAAAATGAATTTTATTAAAGTGGGAACTGAATTTTGTTTTACACTACATAATGAGTTATTATATTTGAATTTCTTGTACTTAATCTCATGGATGATTAAATTCTTTTATAGATACAACTTGACAAATCTGTCGTCATTAATTATAAAAATTCTGAGAACAGTTGTAAAGTCATTACATGTAAATGATTCTGCTTATTTTCCATAATGCCAAGGCATGACAGTGGCTCTGCACTACAAATCATTATAAACTATGTATATATACATCCTACAATAAGTCAACCATATCGTAAAATTGTAAGGAAATTTATTATAATTAAAAATAAGTAAGCCACAAGGGCTATATAGTGTAAGGAAATAATAAAAGAATCACTTATATTTATTTTTTATAACTTGACATATCCTTTTAAAAGAAAATAATTTGTAGGAAATATGGGTGTTTTAAATCTTAAAATTATATTCCTTCAAACTAGAGAATGTAGACTAGTTTATTTTCTAAATTCTATTGTTTTGCATCTGGGTGAATGTGGAAGGTATTCAGAAACCACCTCTGAAAGGTCAAGGAACTGATTACACTCGCAGGAAGGACAGTTCAACATGGAGAAAGGTGAATAAATTTTATCAAGTCATTCAACTTTTTCAAAGGAAATAACCTTCAGTGGAAGTGCTCTTAATCCAAGGCCCTTTTGAGTTTAGGGCTTCCCACTCAATTTTATAACTGAAGGACATTAAATTGATTATTGTTTTATCTCAACATTAAGGATATATAAAAATGTTTTACTACAATTAATTTACACAAGTTGCTTAAGGTTTACACTGAAATTAATCTCAATTTGGCAAATAATCCTCAAAAGGAACTTGTGCACTACTATGCCCCTTCAATACAGAATGGTAAACGGGTTCATTATTTTCTAACCCAAAAATCATAGCTTCCAAATTTAAGGTTAAAAAATATTTTTCTCTTTCACAATAATTAACTTTAATACATTTCTTACTACATCAATTACATAACACTTCTGGGCTCAATGTGCCATTATTTGGGTATCGAGTCATCTGCATGCTATAGATTTTAAATAAATCCTTTAATAATTTACCATTACTACTAATATATATCACCATGAAATGAGTGGCTATAATTCAGAATACATTAGGCAGAAATTTCATCTTAGAGGAGATGATGAAAGTGACGTAAGTGATGAAAATGAGGAGTCATAGTGCCTAGTAGATTGATCATCATCTGCTTGGTTGTTCTTCAATTCACCCATCGTATGCACAAGTCGTGCCCAGTCATCTGCACGTGGTAAGGCTAGTTGCTACAAATAAAGGAAATTTATTAATACTGCTGTTAGAAATCATGGACATAATTATTTTCCAATGTGGCAACACAAATACATGTATGAAAAATTTCATAACCTCAAACAGAAATTTTACATATACTGATTCTGAAGTATCTTAACATGCCTCAAGAAAGGAGTAATGAGATGATTAATTTTCACATTCTTCAAAGTCCTAGGAGCAAATATTAAAATAAAAAATCATACACAATGGCTAAGTGGAAATTTATTACAATAATGGGGGAGAGGGTGCTAAACCTGAAGGGGTCATACAGTGCCTGGGAAATATGGAAGATATTCAGACTTTGTTTTAAGAAATTAGAACAGGTCCAATTCCTTACATTATGAGACCCTCACCAGCATCAAGAAACTTCCTCTCTGGTAACGTAAGAACTCTTTCCTTGAGGTGGCTTCATGGTGCAATTTCTCAAGTACTACTTTATAACTGAGTATCCATTTGAACAATTGGTCTAAAAAAAAAAAAAACACTTTTGACAGTACAGAACACAGCCATGATCAAGTACTTTAACAGTCGCACAAAATACAAGCACTGCTGCCCTCTAAGGAAGCATTCTGTATCTTCTACCTTGCCTTTATATCAATGCATTGCCAAATACAACAATGTTGATGACACTACTTTTGCCTTCTCAAATATTAATCTTAGAGCACTGTAATGGATAAGCTTAAAAAATCCATACTTGGGTAAAAACCAGCTCAGTTAATTTAGAAAAGATATACTACAGTACATTTGGAAACAAACCTGCAAAATATGTTTAAAGATAAGGAAAGTTTCTAGACCTGCATTGGGATAACATTAAAATTCAATACTTGTATACAGCACAAATAAATTGTATACTATTTGTACAATACACAAGAGTAGGTATAGATATTTGGGAGTGGACTTATTTAGCACATGGGTCTATGAAAGACGAAGTGAATCATAAATTGACGAGAGGAAAAATGTGAGTGGTGCACTGAGAATGTATGAGAGTATAACTATAACAATGCTCTTATATGGGTAGTGAATGTTGCAACAAGGAGGCAGTGGAGATGTCGTGTCTGAGAGCAATGTGCAGTGTGAATATAATGCAGAGAATCTGTAGTTTGGAAGTTAGAAGGTGCTGGGTTACTAGAAGTCTTGTCCACACAGCTGAGGAGGGTCTGCTGACTGGTTTGGACATTTAGAGAGGATGGAACACAACAGAATGACTTGGAGGGTTTGTGTGCAAGGGGCTTGGATTTCCAGCAAGTATGCGTGAACATGCTGCATAGGAGCGAGTAGAGACATATGGTTTTTATGACTCGATGTGCTGTTGGAGTGTGAGCAAGGTAATATTTATGAAGGGAAACCGGCAGGCTGGACTCGAGTCCTGGAGGTGGGAAGTACAGTGTCTGCACTCTCAAGGCAGGGTTGTTGATATTGCAGTTTTATAACTGTAGTGTAAGTGCACTTCTGGCAAGACAGCAATGACAAAATTGTGTCTACTTTTTCAGGTCACCCTGCCTTGGTAGGAAATGGCTAATGTTTTTTAAAAAAATGTATATCTTTGATACTTATCCTACTCTACACTATATCACAGATATGGCACCTGCACAATGGAAAATCAGAACAAAAGGTAATCTCATCTCGATCATTTTTAAATCCTGTTCCATGCTCTCAATTATTTGTAAACCCTATTCTAATACACAGTATATGATATGGGAACACCAATAAAGATATGCAGCAGTTGTAAAATTTAATATTTTACCTATATAGCATGCCTATTTTTCAAGTCTGACAGATCATATGTGGGGATAGCACAATTCATAGGCAGGACAGAAAGGGACATAGGTATAAGCAGAAATTAGAGAAGCACTGCAGTAATCCTACTGGTTCATGTTAGGTAGATCTTAAGACTTGCTGGCATGTTGAATACTTTTGGTGGTGATAGTTCTTAGTTCTTGATGGTATAACCGGTTTAATATCTGTATTGCTAAAGGTTTTACCAAAGCAGCTTCTAACAAGACACTCCCCCCCCGGGGAGTCGCCGCAAGAGATGATGATGATGTTACCCTCCAGCCGGAGGGCCCAAGAAAGAAGATGAACGACACCCACAGCCGGGTCACCATATGGAGAAGTACCGGCGAACCTCTAATGAATGAATGAAGCTTCTAACTGGCAAAGCCTTTGGGAATATGGATATTAAACGAGGTATATCATGAAAACAATCAACTCTTACCAGTAGTAAACACCTTCGAAGAGTTTTTCTATTCTCTGAGCCCAGCCATGGGCCAGAATATTTTAACATCTACCTAACGTTAATCAGTAGGCCTACCAGTAATTCTCAAATAGTTGCTTATTTTGCGTTAAAACCTGACTATACCTCCCTCTCTCCTACTATAAATTGTGTTACAACCACGTATGATGTATCAAGTTGGAAAAAATTTATCTAATGTTGTATCTGCACATAAACCTTCCAACTGCTGCTGCTCTTATATCATCAAACCCTATTCTTAATTTATTCCAAACCACATTTACAACTGCCATTTAGAAAGTTCAATCCTTGTTCTAGTCTTTTACAATAAATTTTATAAATAAGTACTGTATGTTAAATTATTAAAACTACTGGTATTTCCTATTTGCCAATGCATACAGATATCAACTTTCTGATACTTTGTATAACTATGGGGTTTACCTAATTTATGTATCTAAATTGCAAACTGATGCAATGATCAAAATTTTATGAGCCTCACAGTAAATACTCTTGTACAATCACATTTTCCCTAAATTCATAGCAATTAATTATTTTATTGCTGTGCATTTAATGTAAACAAGATACATTACTGTGTATCTTAAACAACACTACTTACATTATACCACTCTCTAATCTACCCTTACCTCACCTATAGTATTTGTGCCTGAGGATCTACTACACTAAATCACTTAAAACCCTTAGTAACCCAACAAAAAGCTGCTATAAAAACTATCACCCATTCTAATGCCAGACAACACACTCCCCCACTCTTCATTCCAGTGCCAGACAACACACTCCCCCACTCTTCATTCCAGTGCCAGACAACACACTCCCCCACTCTTCATTCCAGTGCCAGACAACACACTCCCCCACTCTTCATTCCAGTGCCAGACAACACACTCCCCCACTCTTCATTCCAGTGCCAGACAACACACTCCCCCACTCTTCATTCCAGTGCCAGACAACACACTCCCCCACTCTTCATTCCAGTGCCAGACAACACACTCCCCCACTCTTCATTCCAGTGCCAGACAACACACACTCCCCCACTCTTCATTCCAGTGCCAGACAACACACTCCCCCACTCTTCATTCCAGTGCCAGACAACACACTCCCCCACTCTTCATTCCAGTGCCAGACAACACACTCCCCCACTCTTCATTCCAGTGCCAGACAACACACTCCCCCACTTCATTCCAGTGCCAGACAACACACTCCCCCACTCTTCATTCCAGTGCCAGACAACACACTCCCCAACTGTTCAAAAGCTTGAACTTACTAAATATATATAATATGCACTCATAGTATACAGAAATTTATATTCCAATATAAACCCTTCTCTGAAACTTCTCCTTGATAGCTGCAACAGAACACACAGGCATGACACAAAACCCTCCGTGTCCAACAACCTGCGCAAAAATTCCATGTGCACAAAAACCCCGAAGATCTGGAATTCGTTGCCTGAAGCATCAAAAGGTTTCCCTAGCTGCCAATAAATTCAAGTCTATTGTTAAAAGCACCTCATCTCCCTAACGTAATTAAAATGGCAAAACGCTGTCAAACAAAACCAACTCGTCCAACTCTGTCACTTCTTCCAGTCTTCCTTCATCTCCCCAAAAAAATAATACATCTTGTCCCATTATATTCTCTATTCAATCACTTCACTAAACTGAAGATCACTGAATCAGTTTGAAATAATAAGTGATACAGGTCCGGCATCACTGGGACCTGTAGTGTGCCGAATTACAGAGTGGTTAGGTTAGAATACATTTAATTAACCTATCAATAGATAGCAGTTTGGAGGGATATGTTGTGTATCTTTATATGTATATGCTTCTAAACTGTTGTGTTCTGAGCACCTCTGCAAAAACAGTGATTATGTGTGAGTGAGGTGAAAGTGTTGAATGATGATGAAAGTATTTTCTTTTTGGGTCACCCTGCCTCGGTGGGAGATGGCCGACTTGTTGAAGAAAAAAAAAAATCAATAGAGACTCTTTCTGCTTCATTGTCATCACTGCTTTCTCCTCCACTAGCTTGTTGCTGTGGATTTACAACCATCTGCACAATTTCTGAGTCAGTATAATGATGAAATTTGAAATTAGTGCCAGATTACTGATGGAGCCAGATAAGTGATTGCTGGATTAGTGATTTGTGACTTGTACTTTTAAAATTGTACCATTTGTTCATTAACTACCTTTCTTATTGTACATATGACTGTAGTTATTTGCATAAGAAATCCTACTTGACAATTTATGTCTAAATCTCAAGTAATATTTAAGCATTAGGATTAATTTGCCTGAAATACACTGCATATTAGTGGCTTTCTTTTGTGCTTAATAATGTTTTATTACATCTAAACTACATCATTTGTACCGTATAAAAAAATATAAATTGTGTTGTAATGTGTTTCACCTTAGAATTCTCACACATGCTGTAATTACTATTACTACCAACAGTACCTAGCCATTTCCCAATAAATGAATCATTTCTTAAATAGCTGAAGAAATTCGTACAACAATCACAATGGTTCAAGGTTATAAGAAACAGGGTGTAATGTAATGTGACTCAGACTTACTTAAGGAAAACTAGAAAACAATGACATTCCAAGCATTAATCTCTCTTGCGATGCTTTACAATGTTTTCTTATTTACGTGTGAGAAAGCATTAATACCCAGAGAACAGCAAGATATAATTTAATAAGCTTATAAGAATAAACATAAAAAGGCTAAGAAATATGCTGGCAGC